CACCAACAACCTTAGATTAACTTTTTATTTTAATCTAAGCCAACAACTCGCAAATCTCAAGCAATAGTGAACGTATCGAGCAAGAGTCTAATTGAAGAAATACGAATAACTTCTGTAACACGTGATTCGCCTGATAACAAAACGTAGACTAAAGTTAAACCTAGTCTTAAACTGATGCTGTCACTTTGTTTGTTAAAAAGAAGACAAATACATACGTGTTTTTGATTGTGCATTTTTACAAACGTTTCGTTTAGGCAAGTAGAGATAATGACATGATATCAGGGGCTGTATAAAATTGGAATTAGGTTCAGGGAATTTTCAAAAAATAATGGAATGAAAATTACAACGATAAAGCGTAAAATTGCTGGTGACGTCACTTCTTAGTGAAAATTGTACCAAGGCGTTTATTATTTGATTATGTGTCTAAAAAAAAAATACGTGTCCAATACTTTTTGATAATTCGCTGCCTACCTGATAGGCATAAGAAAAAATTAAATTATCCCTAATATGTTTCTTTTCCTTTCCTGTATCATCCTTGGTCAGTAGAACTATAGTTAAGATGACAATACTAGATACTCAAATACAATTATCTTTTTTAAAATATAGACGCGATGCGTTGAAAAAAGAACATTATATAAGTGTTTGATTACGTATATGGGATTTTCCGTAGAATTGTGAAGCAATATTCTATAATTTTGTAACTGAATGTTTCCATAGTTTTAAGCGATTATTAATTTGTTATAGTGTCACGGTTCGTGGAACTAAATATGAAGCCTCTCATAGTATGTCATTATTACTACTGTAACATTCAAAAAAAGTCTAATAACGTATTGTACTTATGTAGGTACGTAAAAATGTGAACACGTTTAAGTAAATTGACAATGGACTGCGAATGAACGGAACAAAGCATTCTTTTTTATTAGAAAAAAAATCTAGTTTTATGTATTTAAGTAATCAACTTTAAATTAATGCTGTCAAAACGGCAGCTCTAAGCTAACAGAAAAATTAAAGAAATTTTGTACCAGATACCCAAAATGGGAGTGAATTGAGAGATTATAGATTAGGAGTCCGGTCTCAAACGAGACAAGAACTTTTTTCTGGAACAAAATTACTTTGATGCAACTAGCAGTAAACAATATATACTTTATGATAAATGACTGCCTTTCATTGAATGCCCTTCCTGTATTGTTATGCCGGCAACTGGCGAACTCCGTGGCCGAGTGGTTTGTACGCCGGGTTTTATGGTGTCGACGACTCGAGAGGTCCCGAGTTCGAATCCCGGTGGGGGCATATGTTTATGTGATGAATACGAGCATTTGTACTCCATGGATGTTTAATATGTATTTCTATATGAATATACTTATTTATGTATTCTAGTATCCCATAACACAAGCACACAGTGCTTACTTAGGGGCTACGCTAATTGATGTGTGTGTTGGAAATATCTGTTTATTTATCATGCTCTATAAGGAATGCAAAGGACAGACTGATGTCAAGTTTGCAAATAGCAAACACGAATATAATGAGGCGGGAAATAAATAAAACAACAAAAGTATTCGTTACGACTCATTTATGCACCTCAAATACTTATCGTACTAATACCATACACGCATCCCTCACTACGCAGTAGAAAAAAAATTATACTGCTACTAAGAAACTATATTTATGTCATTGGCATTGGATCAATCTGTTTACTTATTTCTTTATCGTTACGGTACATTTTGACACAAAGCACTGGGAAGGATAGTAATTATCTATTGAAGAAAGGTACAAATTATGTTTTAAAATAATTATACTCAAGAGTATGGTGTTAGATAATCAAAACAAATCCAAAATTGCAAGAACTTCTGTTTTAAAATTACACGATAACCAACCCAGTTACACAAAAAAAAAACAATAAACGAAAAAAAAAAGTTAAGACATATTTTGTACCTTTTAACAAATGAGACTTTAGAAAAATATTGTTTCATATCAAAGTTGTACACTTAAAACTTATATATTCATAGCGTAAGGTTCAAACTAGCACAGTTTGAAAACTGGTATCGCCCGTTTATATTGAAAAACGAGAGAGTAACGTTAGGCGGCTTGATACAATGTGAATCCTACACATACATGACAAAATGTATTTTTTTTCAGAACTCACTTTTCATTTAATGCCAGTACTTGTATAAAATTTATAAGAAACTATCTAGCCAATAAATTGAGTCATATAATCATCTAAAATTTACTAATTTACGCGCAAGTTTGTCTTTGTAAACTTGAAATTACTTAAAATTATTACTTTGTATCTAAAATTCAATAAACATGATCAGATCAGAGGGAAAAGTGAGTTCAAATCTTATAACATAGTACCTAATAATAGTAACACAGCGTCCACCATCTTGATACATTCAGTTAACGTTTACAAATTCGTTATTTTTAAACCAGCCTTTAGGTTAACATGAAACTTTTATAATACTATAATACTTGCTTGTACACAAACAGATACAATATTTCTTCACAAAAATTTCACCGCACGTAAACAGGCATTACGAACACTGATATTGTGATATCAACAGTATCTGATAAAATATTTCCAAAATTTTGTAATGATGTTGTTTTACTAAAATCTAACAACATAAAAAAATTCAGATCCGAGTTATGTAGAGATTGCGATCTCTTTCAAATACTTTCAAAGCAGTGTTGTCAGTAAATAAAATAGCACACAAGACTTAAGCTTTAGACGATATTATATTAAAAAAAATAGTTCATGCAAAAATCAAGTGTATAATTTCTTATCTATAAAAAAAACCTCAAAGGCCTCTCGTGCTACGACTCCAGTAAAAATCTCATGTAACACAAATAGCAAAAATCCTTTAATGTGATTAGCAAAGAACCGAGTCACTAGAACATTATTATAACTAAGTTCAAGTTGCTACCTATTTTATCGACTTCATAATTCCACTGAAACAAGTAATGTCGTAGGCACCAAGTCATATTAATTTTTAATTAGCATTTTACCTGGCTTGGCAATCCTTCCTCACAAAACAGTAAACTTATAGAAAGATTGCTATTATGAAGGTGAAATTGGAGTAGTTATTCAAGTCCATCCAACTAAAACTGAGTCCTTAATATAATCTTTTCTTTCCAGTCATTAAAGTTTTAAGCAAAATATTCAAAAAAAACTGACAGCTGCATCATAACATTGATATTGAAGGTGAATTCACGCAATTAAGGCTCTTTTCTTGAAGCCAAAATATTTGCCCTATTAGTAGCAGTGTTAACATATTGTGAGAAATCGAATGCAGTGGCGCAAGGAAGGAAGATTTGAGTGACCTTCGAAGTTTCATGTTGAAATTCATATTTAAATTACACTACATCCTTGGCTAGAGTGGTATGTACGCCGGTTTTCAAAACCGGTGTCGCCTTCTTAGAGGTCCTGGGATAGAACCCTGCTTGGGCAAATGTTTGTGTGATGAATACGAGCATTGGTACCTAAGTAATGGTATATGTCATATTATGTTATATGTATTTCTAAATAAAAACATATTTATATCCTCTCTCCCTAATACCATGGACTTTTTCCACATTATAGTTTTTTGGAGAATCCGAAAGGATATTCCATAAATAGAACGCCTGTGCCATATTTCCGATTTATAGATCCTAATGTTTAGGCTGGGCGTTAATGAGTCAAAGATCTTATATTATAGAAAGAAGATAATCAACCATCACGACTCGGAAACATAAAATTTATTGTTTTTTTTTTATTTTTTAAGCATTTAACTGCTAGATGTTTAAATCTAAAACCTGGTCTGGATAGAATTTATTCTAGTAAAATAAAAAAAATCTAGTAAAATTAGAACCTAACATTTTTCTGAGATACCAAGTATCTTATGTCTCAATCCAGGTGAAAAACTATATGTGCGCCAAATTTCATCCGAATCCAGATCCGAATTCAGAGATATTTACGTGGTCGAGTAACAAACATGCAAAATATCAAATTTATAAAATTATTACTATAGTAGGAAAAATTGTATTAGTAGGATCTGTCATTTTCACGAATACCTATAATATAAATAAATAAATTCTTGAGTTTTATTGAAACCTTGTATGTTAATTACTTGATCGCAACCCTAGCTTCAATTTCAGTGACCATCTTTTAATCTGCGGCGTGAATCAAAGTCAGGGTGCGATAGCTCAAACTGAATAGCGTAGTAAGTAAGTAGCTTTAGATTATGTATTTTATTATGAAATCGAAAAATAATAATAATAATTTATTGTCATTAATATAAACTGGAGGATTTGAATCATGTATTTCATATTTAAAACTAGTTCAATTATATCGGAAAATCATCGTAATTTCAATCTGAAATCACTCTTTTTTTTTATTGATTTTGGGTTATTTTTATGGCTTATATCAATAATTTATTGAGAAATGGTGTTTTGTATTGGTATAAAGCTTATAAATTTTTTTTTTAAATATAGCTATATTTTTAGCCTAGGTAACCCGTAAAGGATACACACAGCGCCATGTATGAGAGCGTGCGGTAAAACGTTTTACCGCACTCTACGTAGTATGGCCGGTAATTATCAACTTTTGAACATTAAATGCATTTTGAGATAATCTGTTGAATAAATATTTTCTAATAAAATAATTACCCTCCCTATTAGAATTCTAACCCAGGATCTTTTGAAGATGAAGGCAGTAACATTGCCGCACCAGCCAATCGAAAAAATTGTTTACAATATTTGTCGAGTTGCTTTGATACAGGGAACAATAGCTTTTGTTTCTCAATCTTAACTGATTACTCAACTCCACTTTGATAGTACTACTGAAGGCAAATATTGTGCTCCAGGAAACCTAATAAAACGTGAATTGCACCATGGCTACACAATATTTTCTTTCGACATTTTAGACCAGTTTAAGTACCTGTTAGCGATGCACAAACATAGAAAGCGGGGCAAGTGTAGTGTTATTAGCAGAAAACATAGATCGAAATAGATAACGCAATGTACTTCCGTGCTAAAAACCCGCCAATAAGGAGACAAATGGTCTTACTTTCATACGAATTTCATTTCTTCACGTCACTTTTCTTAATACCAGACGTAAATCGCAAAATTTTAAAAATTTCTTTGTAATATTAGGCTATTAAAACGTATATATAATTGGAATAGGTGGTCTGAGCCAGTGCTTTTCCGCCACCTAATGTGTTCTCAGGATATGACATGCTTGGTTTACATACAAGTTGAAACACATCCGTCATCTATTTAAATCTAGGTATGTGGCTACAACACTGCATCTTAAGCTAGACGATAATCTGATTCCATCTTAAAATAATGAAACTATGTTGAAGAAATATGTAAGTACCTGTTAGCGATGCACAAACAATATAGAAAGTAGGACAACTGTAGTGTTATTAGGTTCAGCGTTAACAGTAAAGTATCAAGGGGTAAATACGTAGGCTCTGCGAGTCCGGAAAGCGGCGGGAGCTCAGCGCATTCGATAATGGTTCTTCTCTTGAACTTGACAGAGTTCACCTTTGAACTCAATCTCCACTTCAAAGTCGAGATCGCGGTTGTTTCGCGCGTTCTGCCTCATCGAAAACGTTCCCGTGATCTCTTCGCCTTTCTTCACCTAGATAATTATTATAATATTACATGAAAAACTGGTTATTTGTAGATAGCCCCCTGTGGTGAAATTTTCTGGACCGATACTAAAAACTTTTTAAAGATAGAATGGTATGGAAAATATCACTGGAGTCAGTTGTATTAACCAATACTAAATGTAGTGACTGATGCAGTGGCTATGGGAATTAAACAAAATATAACTCTCTTACATTCCTTATGAGTTGGTAAGTGACTTATTAAAAGACTGACCAAAACAGGGTTATAGGTTGCTTGTTACAAGTTTTCTTTTATTTACCATGTACAAGTTGGTGGAAATAATTTTATAATTTTTTATAAACACAAAAGCACAATAAGTGTATTATACACCTTATTGTAGTAAGATATTGGTTTGACCTATTATAGCTTAAATATTAGTTTCCTAAACATACTGACCGTCATATATTCATCGAAGTAGAACACTGTTTGCTTCCAATGTGTGTATGGAGCTTCGGGGGCGGTGCTGAACCCGAGACGCTTGTGAGACTTCGTGAATTCCACATTGAAGAATGTTACTAGAGCTTGGATGAAATCATTACGACGCACCTGAAGAAACAAATTTGTGAACATGAAATATGAGCTTATGAACTAAGCCAGCTGGCTTAGATGTGCAATCATGAATCAAAGTTTAAAATATCTGCATTTCATTGCAGTATTATGTTTTTCTTTAATAAGGCCACCAGAGAATCCATTGTAAGATTTAATGTAACAAAATCTTACAATGGACATTCTTCTCACAATGAACAGTTATTGATAAATTCCTCGCATAGGAATATGTTCAAAAACTTTCTTTTCATTTAAGTAATTGAAGTGATAACTTAAATTAGTTCATTTCAGAAGTAATTCATAAATAAAGTTTTCTTTACTTACCTGGAGATGGAACTTGGACTCAAAGTTAAGATCCTCCTTTTTGACTGTATACAAATCAATCTCTTTCAAAAGACATGAATTTGTGACAACCTGTGAAATGACAAACATAATTGAAATACATTTTTATCGATATACACATTACAAATGAGGTACTAGAGTGTGAATCATGTGTAAATACACATGATTAAGCGATTCAACGACCAATAACAACATAAATTAACAAATAATTCTTAATGAACATACTTGTTTTGCATCCACAACATCAACAAGAGGTTCAGAGATGGCAACCTTCCTAATAGAAGACATGTCAAAACCATAAACATCATCCCACCAATTGATTTTCTCATCCTTGTACTGACGGTCTTCAATACCGCAAATAAACAATGTGCATCTACAAAATAAATAACAAATACATAATAATCTCAAATATACATACATTACTAGCATAATATAAAATATATAAATTATATTATGAAAATCTGAGAAGATTTTGATTGGCTATTGTCCTGAAAACTCTGAATTAATTAAAATGTACTTCAATGCCTCCTGTTTTCTGGATTTTTAGCTTATGATGTCTGTATCACAAACCAAAAAGTACAAAAAAAAAGGTATAGACATTTCTTTAATGTAACAGACTGGAACAAAAACTCAGGAACAACGTAAAAACAGTAATCTAGCTAACAGAAACATTAAGATGAATCTAAAAAGGATATCTTATTAACAAAATGTGGCAGGCTTATTTTAAGCAATATAAATGTCAAAATCCGATATTGAACTGTTGATAAATTATATATATATGCAACTAAGTCATTACGAAATGAATAAGAAGGATTTTTATTATTACCTGTCAGGGAAAAGCATGCCATCTGACTTGAGCCACTTATCTCTAGCATACAACACAGTGTCCAGCATACTTTCATAAAAGAGGCAATATCCCATCCATTCAGAAATAATTATATCCACCTTCTCAACAGGCAGCTCCACCTCTTCAACCTACAAGAAGATACAAATTGACAATAATATCAATGTCAATCTCACAGTTTCGGTTTGAGTTACATGAACAACAAAATTATAAACCATTTGTTTGTAATTAAAAAATTGCATGCCTTCACAAAAGGCTGAAAATTATATAAACTGAAATCTTCTTCCAAATTACATAGTGAATATACAATGTTTGTATGTACAATTTTATCATAAACCTTGAAGTAATATTATGAGTAATTTTACACTAACAAGTAAATAGGTTAAAGTTTGTTTAATTATTAAGATAAATAATAATGTAACCTGCTTGGTGGTACAGGGAGACCAATTATAATATTTGGTTCCAAAATTTAAAAGCTTCCATTTTCAATTTAGTAAATGCATGCATGAGGTTGACAGCTCTTTTATAGCAGATAATATAAACTTTTAGTGATCATTTATCTAAATGTTGGTTTAGACAATTTACAGTTATTTGTAACAGTGACAATGGGGACAATTCTGGCATGATTCTCTAAACTTAAAACTAATTTTAACATCAGTGAAATCTCTTGTTCATTCTGTTTAAAGAATGACAAGGATAAATTGTTATCAAATTTAAGTTTATGTTTAGAGAATCATGTCAGAATCAACACCAATGTTTGTAAATGCTAGTTCAGGGAATAAAGCAACTTATATTTTGAATGTATACTAACCAGAAATACATCAACTGACTCATATGCTTAAAAAGTTGAGTCAAAAAAAAATAAGTATAAATACTCACCTTTCCTTTAACAATCTCAATAATGTCATCGAGCCGATTGGCCTCTATGATCTTACGAGCATAATCAACTATGTTGGAGCATTCAACTGCTATAACCTTAGCTGCACCTGCCTTTGCTGCAAACATTGAAAGAATGCCCGTACCACAACCTATGTCTAGGACTGTCTGTAACACAATGAAAATAAGTACATGGTATTTTCAACTCAAAATTCATAAGCAAACAAAACATAACTCAAAGTTTGAGTTGACATGTAAACTCAATGAAGGGCAAAACTGTTTATGTTTACTAACCTTTCCCTTGAAAAGATGCTTATTATGGTACATGGCATTCCTGTATGTGAGCGTACGTACTTCATCTTTAAGCATCTCCTCGTGTATACCGAAATGGGCGTAAGAGTCAAAATAATAGTCTCTTGAAGTCATTTCTTCCGCCGCGACACTTTTGTCGGGTCCTAAAGCATTCACAAATGGCATTACAAAAGAAACACGTTTTCGGCATTTTTAAAGTAAGTAAACGCACGATGCCAAATTAAAAACTTACCATTTTCAACTACCGGCGTGGACGCGGCCGACGTGCCCTCTTGTGCAACATCCATACTTTCCATTTCAAGTAAATTTATGAGCCAGAAATAGTGCAAAAATGAAATTAATTTTATAGGTATAACCTGTAACTTTGTATAATGCGAATCGATCTGTCAAGGAGTTGCTTAGATTTAAAGCTACCTATAACTTATGCAAAAAGACTTACGTTCGACTATTCTAGGATACTCTTACCGAGATTTTAGAAAAAAATATCACAATAATTAAATATCAATCTTGCGGTCAACGCCTCAAGTCGAAAACGCTTCAAAAGAGCTTTTCCGCAAAAATTGAAATGAAAGAAAGAAAGAGTTGCTAGACTACAAAAACTATTTTTCTTTTCTTTGCTCCCCAAATCAAAGAACTATCGAGTTGTACAGACTTGTCATGGTGATAAGCAGTGTATCCGACTTCATATCGGTTCATAGACCTTTTCACTTTTTTTCTTGTTTCCTTCTTTAATAGCCGGGGGAGTTGATGTGAAATCCTCTTGGACAGCTGTCTGCGGGGTAATGTTAGACCCTTACTTTAAAACACACCCGTAGGGAGACGTCCGTGGCCTTATTGGCCTTACGCCTTACAGGCTTCGTCTGATGCGATCATCAATCATCTCACTCACTTTACAGTTTATAACGTCCATTTATAAAATATAAACTCCCCCACCCCCCCACATTCGCTCTAGGGCACTCTTATAATTATTTTCTCATCGAATAATCTTTAAAGCTGGATCTGGAGGATCTAGGCCAAAGAATTTCGTTACTGTTGCAGTATGTCTCGTTGTATGTGCTGAATGAAATATTTTCACGACGTCATTACCTCCATGGACGAAAGATCAAGGAATTCTTATACATAACGCTTACATGGTTCGTAACTAACTTCTTTGGAAAATGGCGCCACTCGTGTGCCACTGCCAATGAGCCTGATTCTCTAAATCCAAAATTGAATTTGACCATGGTATGCTTTTATCACGCTCTATACAGAATAAGAAGGAGGCTGTTTGCTTATGTTTAGAGAATAATGCCAGATTAAGCCCTTTGAATAACTTTGCATGCATAACCTTTGCCTTTTAACTGCTCAAATTATAACAACAACATTCAAGAAATCAACAATGCTAGGGGGATATTGGCGGGATTTCATCGATTGCGGTTGGCGTCTTATTTTAATTATTCTTAAATTTGTTCAGTGGATATTGTGAAATAAAATTGGTGTGATTTTATGTTACAACCGTCTGCGCAACTGAAGAATTAGTGGAATCTTTAAAATATACGCTATTCCGGTTAAGTGGACGTGAGAATTTTATTGTAGTATTGACTACCTCACAGCAGCTTATCGAAAAAGCTAACTCGATATATTTCATGCCAAACACTCCAAGAAGCATAAGAATGCGTCACACCCACATTCTAATGTAAAAAAAAGGAAGATTAATACAAAAATAAGACGATGGCTGCATGGCTATGCCTTTGCCTTTTTCAATAGAGAAGAATAGAACTAAAAAAAATAAAAAGAGGGTTTTTGGCGGGATTTCATCGAGTGCGGTAGGCGTCTTATTTTAATTATTCTTAAATTCGTTCATAGTGGATATTGTGAAATAAAATTGGTGTGGTTTTGTGTAACAACTGTCTGCGTAACTGAAGAATTAGTGGAATCGTTAAAATATACGCTATTCCGGTCAAGTGGACGTGAGAATTTTATTGTAGTGTTGACTACCTCACAGAAGCTTATCGAAAAAGCCAACTCGATACATTTCGTGCCAAACACTCCAAGAAACATTAGAATGCGTCACACCGACATTCTAATGTAAAAAGTAAAAACAAAAAGAAGATTAATTTAATTAAAGACCAGGCTGTATGGGCATTGTTCCCTTTGCCTTTCCTAAAACGGGAGAACTTCAACAAAAAAAAAATCAACAATGATAGTGTTGTTAAATTAACAGCAGTACAGTCGATCGATTATAAATTATTGAGAAGAATTTAATCGTGAAGTTCTGTGAAATATTTAATAATAAATAGAAACGATCTCTAGCTAGTCATATTTTAAATAGTCAAAAATAAAGTCGCTTTCCGCGTCTGTTTGTAAAGTTGCTAACTTCTCCTAAGCTAGCAATGTATTTTCATGCTATACTTATTATCATTTTCATGATTTTATCTATTTAAGTAAATTTTTAGGGATTTTTTTTTTAATTCAAGCCCAACACATAAATTGTAGTTAATAATTATGATTATAATTTTTCACATAATTTGTACAAAAAAACAAGAAACGTATAACGAAATTAAGCCTTAAAATCTTTGAACGATTTACTCGACAGGGCTTAGTTTCCTTGTACGTGTGTATGATTTTTTGTGTATGTACAGGGCGAGACTTAGTTATAGGTAATGGTTTTAACCGGCTTCACTTTGTGGTTCGCAGAGTTTCCTCTATGCTTTTTGGAAGAAAATTCCATTTTTATTTGATCTGAATCTAAGTGCTGCTTTTGGAATTTTATACCTAACTTAATATTTACCTACTATAAATATATAACTACATAGTGGAAGACCGCGACTTCACTTACGTGTTTAAAATTTCTCATGTTCTTCTTTCTAAACAGAAGTCTTCAAAAAAGGTCTCTCGTCTGGTTCCCATTTTTAATAATATACATACAACCAAACAAAATTCAGCAAAATCGGTTCAGCAGTTTAGACGTTAAAAGTGTATCGAACCAACTGATTTCCGCATTAAATTGATTACTAATTATTTAACTGTCTCTCTCTTTCTTAGAAACAAAGGAGTCACTTAGGTACGTAGGACGTAGAAGTTCTTAACCCCTAATAAACTGCGACCCCCTACGACTACATTCACCTTAACTTTAGTTTTTCGAGGACCACTCAGAAATCTAACATTTTTTTGGCATTAAAATTATCCTTTGACTTAATCCCGGTAATAAACTATATGGGTACCAAATTTTGTCCAAATTCATTCAGCGTTTCCGATTCAATCAAGGCTCGCAGTAACATACTCCCCAGTAAAATTTACTTCCCCTTTTCACCCCATTAGGGGTAGATTTTCGAAAAACCTTATACACGGAATTCTTGATTCTGGTCTTTAGTAAAAATATCAAGTTTTGAATTAATCGAAATGCATAAAATTCATCCATATAAAAACTTCGATACCCTCCCAATCCCCTTTTAGAGAGTAGTTTAGGAAAACTAAAAAGGACAAACTTTGTAATTTATTTAGATAAGTATTCGTGCCAAGTTTCAAATATATTAAATTTGTAAAAACTTTTAGGTTTTTACATACAAATTTTCATCCCCTTTTTTAAACCCTTCAGGACTAAATGTTGAAAATTCTTTTCTTAGTGCGCCTTTCGACCTCATAAGAGACCTACGTGCCAAATTTGGAATCTTTAGACCTAGCGGTTTGTACTGCGCATAGACTGATATTCTTTTATAGTTAAGAAGAATACGCTATGGGAAATCTCTTTTTATTTGCTAAAGTGAATTATCGCATATTACTTAGAGGGACAAACCAGTTGTAAGAGTGTGACTTATTGGGAACAAATATTCGTAAACGTTAACTTGTAATACGCTGAGTTAAGATTATAATTCGATTAAGCAAATCGATAAGAGTCCTCGCCACGCGCTACTGTTTTTGCTGCACATTCTCTCGCATCTACTTATTGGATAGGGTACCTAAAGACACTATTGTAAGAAGAGAGTTAGGGCATAGCGAGTTTTTCGCTCGAATTGGAGCGCCCGTTTGGGGAAGTAACCTCCATCTCACAAAAAATTACAGTAAAATAATAGTACCTTATGCGGTTGTTGTGTTTTTGTTGGTGAGTAAGGTTCCAGGGCTCCACGGGGTAGGGGATTGGGTCAGGGTCGGCAACGGTGCGAGTGATATTTTTTTGTATCGCAAGCGTTTAAAGGCTGTCGTGGTGGTGGCCGCTTACCATCAGGCGCATCATATTATGCTTATATGCTTGTTTGCCACCCTGTTAACATAAAAAAGTGAATTGGCAAACTGTCACTATTATCTTACCTATTTCCCGACTATACGTTGAACACAACTAAGACCAAACGTGTGACGAAATATAAAAAGTATATGTATGTATTTTTAACTTCTACTGGTTCACTATTTATGCCCTGCCAATCCTGTAACCCCCTTATCAATCAATAATAATACCGTATAATACGGTACATACACCAAAATATCATTTTTTACAATTTTTGTATTATATTATATATTCATATGCATGTAGTAAAAAGCGGTTATTAAAAATATTATAAAGAGACACTCCAAAATTATTTATATGTCTATACATACATTATTAATTAAAGGAAAAAAAGTTGACTTATAGTTATTAATCAGCTGCACATTTCCATAATATCACTAACTAGTTGAATATCCGAATAAATATATAAATAATAAATAACTGTATTTTGAATTACCACGTAGTGCTTAGATTGAAGGCAAATATTATCAGTAAACGACGATAATCGTAGTTTGATAAGCTAATTATGAGTAAATACAATAGGATAGCAACCAAATTGTGATCGGCGTGCGTTTATTGCATCTGTTTTATCTATAATAGAGTCGATGAGATGTTATCGTTAAAGCCGAATGATACTTCTGTATTTATATGTAGATAAAAACTTCTGTGGCCGACAGTATTGTAACAGCAGTGACCGCGATCTAACGTACGATTGCTTATCGCTTGCATAAAGTTAAAGTGAACGTATTGACCGCGTAACTCGAATGAAGTAACTAAAATAAAATAAACTCTGGGTGCAGTTTTTAAAGTAGTTATTTCATTAAGTGTCTAAACACTAAAAGGCTTACGTTAATAATCAAACTATATAAACGAGTTTTAAAAAATTGTGCCATTTATTAAGAGTCCAAAACAAGGTACTTAATATTTTGTTATTTTTATATCAAAGGATGTCAACAATGTAATAATAGAATTAGCTACCAATAAGTATAACAGTTAATTATTTACATAATTGTAAGAAATAACAAAATCATAATCTCAGTTCGTTTTGACTTCGACTATAATGTTAGTGAAAAAATTGGAAAGGTAATATATAAAATAGGTAATATTGGATATTTACCAAAAAAACATTAAAGTGTGAAACATATTATTAAGGAACGACAAAACAACTGTAACCTCAATAATTTATTACATTCAATAATGTTACAAAAGAACTAAATAAAAACTTGAAATATTGTGGAGCCAAATCCTGCTAGTTTCGCTTGATAGATGATGAACGCTTTTGGGTACAGAAAAGTTTATTTAACTTCATTTGCTAGAAATATTTAATGGACTTTCGTAAACCTAGTAGGTATAAAATAAAGAATGAACAAATATCTAGCAAAAAACATTTCGTCAACAGTAAAATAACAATAAAAGTTTTGGTGGTGTTGTTTGCTGTTGTGGACTTGTGCTTGTAAGTAAGGTTCCAGCCAGGGCGCCACGGGGCCCTACCCCCTGAAAATCGGCCCAGCTACCTATGTGAGGATGGCTGAAGCTGCTTTCTTTACTGCCTTTCAACTATTGCCGCAACTGGACTCCACTTAGGTACCTACACTTATAGCATTAAGTGTGGAGCAGTAGTTAGCTTCGCCCTATATAAAATATACCAGACTGGTTATATAACCAGCATACTTTGCTATCCATGCGAATAAAGTCAAGGGTGTTGGTTCAATTCCAGTACACGGCAAAGTTTTTCAATAAAAATATCCTAAGATAGTAAGTATTATAATAAATTAGTCTGTTTTCGAAAGCAATAACATTTCAGAGAATTCAGAATGAAACTTTTGCACTCACGAAAGTCAAAAATATCAAAAGCGGTAACCATTGTATTTACTTACATAAAGTTATCTTTTAATTCCGATCCCACCTTATCGTTTACCTTGAAATGCCGGCGATTGCTAAATTGCTTATGCGCTTACCTACGCATACTTAAACGAAAAGCTTCAAAATTATTTAAAGAGTTTAATACATATTGATATTTTAAAAAATTCTTTTATTTTAATAATATTAGGTTATTGTGCAAACATTGATAAACTTTAATTATCTAAACGAGTAGAGGATAGAGACCGTTATAATTATCTGCAAATACATTATTCTCCACGTTGTTGTGGTACATAAGTACAGCGATAACGAGCTCCTAGACTTAGATAAATAAAAATTTGAGGAACGTGAGACAAAATAAACCGATAAAAAGTTCTAGGGCGGTCTACGTAACATATACCTTAAGTTTGTGGTTCCGTAAGGATAATCATAATACTAAAATACATATTATTCCAGGTTTTGGTTCAAATTGAATCAAGTGAAGATTGTATATTGCAAGTTCTGAAAATGGTGGTAATGTGATATGTACATATTTTAAGTAAATTTGGTATACCAACGACAAGCTTAGTTTAATCTTGGAAATGGCTTCGCATAGAAACAATTAGTTGATTTAATTTGGGTCCCTTCTCTGAGCATTAGCGTGATTTCGCGCAATCTATCTTTACTTCAGTAGAGACAGAAAAGTCTACCGATAGACAGATTAATTTTGGAACCTATTGAGATAGTCTGGCCAACTAAAAGTATTGACACCTATGATTGTATATGCTATTGATGGTATATGCTCTAAGATTGATACATATATCTTAGGTCCACATAATATCGAAAATGACATCATCAAAGATCAGCTATGCATGAGATGTATCTTAAAGGGTAGGAGAACATGCATATGACCCTAATTTTTGTGGTAGACATGCACATGGACGCCTTCGACACCTCGCACGTTGCCGACACTACCCATCTTCTAACCAGAAACACAAAACTATCAAATAGTATTTCACTGTAGTGGTAAGGCGGAAATGACTTTCCAAGACTGATGCCCTACCAACCCAAAAATTATATCATCCAGAATGTCTTTAAGTATGTACACATAATAAGTGTGACATATAAGAAAACAAATTTATTTATTTATTAACTACATTTGGAGCGAATACAAACTAAGTAGTTTAATTTTTTTCAGCGCATACTAATTATTAATTTTTAGATACTTCATAACGAATCTATAAGGCCCATTGTGGATAGTAGGAACAATGTACATAATAATCAAAGACTCGATGTCACGCAACATTAAAAGAATCGGAAACATCAATCATCCAAAATTATTATATTGTTCAAAGGGTTTTATTAATAAAAACAATACGCCAATGCTACAATGAAACCCTGTTTTACACTCACATGGATAATTTTTATGTACCTACTTACCTGTAATAAATTATTATTTATAGCGATCAATCACAAATATACATGCATTTGCACAACGAATAATTTCGAAGAAACCAGCACAGCAAATTCCCGCTGTGCAGTATCATATGTCTGCCTTAATAAAATATTTTAGTCAGGTAGTTTATTTTTAATCGTTTCCAATATCCCTGGAAATGACCCGAAAGGTAATGCCACGATGTCCCGAACATGAGGTCAAACATTTTTGTGTTAAAAATAAAACGTGATCCTGAGCGTTTCGTGTCTTTGTTGTTCGCATCAGTCAGAATTCTGTTTATGACCTTTTTGTTTATTTCCTGCAAATATCATATTCACACTCTTATCGCACATCACGCGTGTGTTTATTTATTTAGGTTCATTCGAGCATGATTCAAGGTTTTTTTTAAAGTATTAATGGTATAACTGTACTGTATTAATTAGCAGTTTTTTCTGTCCTAATATGCTCCAAATGCCGTAAAAACCGTTAAGGTTTTTGTTGCTACATCATATGTTATATGTGGGGAGTGAGAAACGACCAAGTGCGAGTCGGATTCGCGCACTAAGGGTTCCGTAAAAACTCAATTTAATACCTCTACGCTTTCATGAGAAAAGAGTTTTTTGTTTAAATGTGTATGCTGTTTGTCGCAGATGACCTTTACAGCGTCACCGGGTTTGAGAACGGCGAGATCCTAAGGGGACCTCAAGCCGAGAATTGGCAAGTGCCTCTAGAGGTATTCCAGGCGGATGGCGTCTCCCCACGGGGGGAATCTCCTCTCCGTCTGGAGCCTCTAGACTACTTGAACCTGAGGGAGTCGGCTCAACTAGAGGGCGTCTCTGAAAGTCGGACCTCGGCTCTAGTTAGCCGTTGTCGTGTGGGACGGGGAAAAACGCTCAGTTACGTACCTTTACCTGGTAGAGCGTATCGTGTGTACACCGGGTCTTCACACTCTTATTCTACGGGTGCGGTGTCTGCCTAATGCTTAGCTAGTGTGCACGTTTGCTAGCTGTGTAGTGTTGGTGTTTGTGGCCTATGTGGAAGGAATCAGAGGCGCGTTGGCGCGGGTAATTTTAAAATTAAAAAAAAATATATATTATGATGCGACTAAAAATTTACGGTTTTCGCAAATTTTCCTTTATCTGTACTATAAGACGTTACTTCGTACCAAATTTCAAGATTCTAAGTTCACGGAAAGTACCCTGTAGGTTTTGATTCCCGTGCGAGTTTCGAAAATTTGCGGCATAAACGGCTGTATCTTTTGATTGCTTTAGCTTAAAAGTTTGATTTTTTCACTTCTCCAAGGGACTGTAAACATGAGTATTAGATATGAATTTCAGTTTGAAACCTTCACGCGTTCCTGAGGAAAACGGTCTTGACAGACGGACGGACGGACGGACGGGCAACAAAGTGATCCTATAAGGGTTCCGTTTTCTCCTTTTGAGGTACGAAACCCTAAAAATTAAAAGTCCTACCACTAATTCAAACTATTTTATAATTAGACGTTAAAATTAATCAAAAATTTGTAATCTTTTTATGCACGGGATTTTTTATTGTTTTGGAGGAATTATAAAAATTAATTTAACAAAAACAACAATAAGATAACCATTTTAAGAAAGAATACAGAGCTGATATTAGTTGAACAGGAAATAAAATGAATTTACAAAGAAAACATGACCTTTTAAATAAGAACAAAATAACTACTATACATTATAAATAAGTAGTCTTTATTATTTAAAAGATGCCATTAATTAAAATGAGAAATCGCTGACTGACTACTAGTCGTGAAATTAATATTTAAACAGAAAAAAATAAGTATGTTAAGAACAAGAAACATGACTTAAAAACTAATAATATGTTTAGAGTAACCGTTTTGGATTGTAGCTCTTACAAGCGGTTCTAAATTTCGTTGTATACCTATTATAAACTCACTGCTCAAGTTTGCTAATAATTCCACTCTGATACACGCCGCAATGGATGATTTACATCAAAAAGCAGGTCATCAATAAAAAAAATAAAATAAAAAATTTGACAAAAAGTAAATTATTGACAACACTACAATAATAATAATCAAATTAAATTATGATGCTTAAATTATGTTAACATGGTTTGAATTGAAGTTGCGTGGGTAATAAAGACTCTTCAGGAGAAAAAAATATATTGTCACTCAAATTTCCGGAGCTGGAGTCTGTTTGCTCTAAAATTATCCGCAGTGGATAAATAAATGAGTCAGTATTTCAACTAAACGTGCCCAGCCGCTATCGGAGTATTGGTAGAGCCAGATAAGGAGATGTGATAATCCATGTCGCCTTTATAATATAGATGCAGCCGCATTATCTATTGATATACTTGCATAAAATAAATACAACCCTTAATATTAACAACAATAACCTTTTTATAATTGTGGGTATCTACATATACATCGCAATTCATAAAATTGATTTAAAAAACTTTTTTTATTTTGGCATGTATTATGCATATAAACGTTTCTATTAAATCATACTTTTTATTGTTGAAAAGTACAATAAAATCCGTTACATAGTTTAAAAGATCTAAGCGTATAGACAGTAAAAGCTACTTTTGTCTATACTATGTAAAGATAACTAAAAAAAACCGGCCAAGTGCGAGTCGGACTCGTGCACAAAGGGGTTCGTAACATTATCTATACAACAGACATTATAATAAAATATAGAGCAAAAAACGGCAAAAAATCACGTTTGTTGTACGTGTGCCCCTCTTATAGCAGCAACAAAAATACATCATCTGTGAAAATTTCAACTGTCTAGCTATCACGGTTCATGAGATACAGCCTGGTGACAAATAAACAGACAGATAGACAGACGGACAGGGAAGACTAGTAGTAGAGTCCCGCTTTTACCATTTGGGTATGGAACCCTAAAAACCGTCACCTAAAAGATGATAACTATGGTAATTTCATCCAAATCAGTTTAGCCTTTTTTGCATGATTGAGTAATAAAGATACAAACTTTTACATTTAAAGCGTTCGTAAGAATGTGGGAAATATTAGGTTTGGGAGATAGGATCGTAGTAGATACTAGATATAAATAGGACTATAAGTCACACGTCAGAAAGACTAAAGAATTACTCTTACATTAACATACGTATAAACCTTTCTCTAGAATCACTCTATCTATCTATTGCTGAAAACTGCATTAAAATCCGATGCGAGATCGAAGCGTACAGACAGCTACTGTATTTTATGCCGTGTAAAGCTGAAATTGTAATAAATGACGTACATAAATAGAGAAAAGGGGGAAAACTATTAATCAACCAATATAATTTACTTATTGTCAGAAATTTTTCCTAATACTCTATCAAAATTAGCGATTACTATCTTCAGATCAGTACAGACGTAGAAAAAACGTGATTCAACACTTATAGCTGTTTACACAATTGCCTTGACTATTATGGTTACGTCTGTATTTGACATTATCTCACTTACGTGTACGTACGTAAGAGTTTTAAACTTTTCTACAGCGTCAAAAAATCCCTTTATCAACAAAGATTTTCAAATAAAAGCTTTCCTATTATTTTTTATTAACTTATTTTGTTTTTAAATTTTATTAATACACACATTTTAGCTAAACAACTTGATATTACACACGTAATCCTAATAAATAAAATTAATGACCCTTATCCTACTAATACTATGTGATAGTCTGCGTGTTTGTTACTCAATCACGTAAAAACTACTGAACGGATTTGGATGAAATTTGGTACGCCTGGATTGAGACGTAGGATACTTTTTATTCCGGAAAAAGGTTCCTGTAGACTTCCCAAAAAACTAAAGTTAACTCGGACGAAGTCGCGGGAGGCCTCTAGTATTCAATATGTAAGCCAAAACTTCTAATATTTTCCTTTTGAGCTGGCACGTTGCATAGTTGTCGCAATATTCGCATAAATTACAAAATATATTATTAGGTATAGTGGGTACTTACTTTGATAAATAAGGATAAATATAGCTTACCTACATTAGATAATGTTGCAGTCTGGAGTTGGTAGGTACTGGTTAAATTACATCGCTGGTCCTTGATTGCCATAAGTGGTCGGTTCATCCTTTTATTCGGCAATATTTCTATAGTAGCCACGTGATGACCTCCGAGGTCCTTAAACTACAACATTCACACAAGGACAGTGAAATCAATTTGAGTTCGTTTACCGTTAACTCGATTATGTTGCACCGACCTCCAACTCACGTATGAAATGAGCATGTCGAGTTAATTCCATTGTTAAAAGGGCTGTAAAAATCGCCATTACCCAGTAATATACACCATATTGAATTCCCACGTGCTTTCATTACTAGCACAATATGACGTATAGTATCCTATAATGCTCTCTACATAACTAAAAAGTAATTTAGAAAGCTATGTGACTCTTTCGAATTTTATAAAAATTTTGATAATGTTTATATTTAGTTTTACTATTACTGGCTATTACAAAATTAGAAATAATTAAATTCTGTCGATCTCCTTTTTATAATAATTGAGTTAGCACTGGTCAGTTTCCTTACTCTTCATCTTTAATTTCACTAATTCGCCAGTTTACTCATGACACAGTTTCGCTAGTTAGATATTTCCCTGATAGTGTAATTATGCAATTGCATCTTGCTATATACCGCGTCTTAACGCAGGTTATTAAAATACTCTATTCTAAATAATTGTATATTATTTATCATTGAATACATTTATACATATCTTTATATATATAATTCTTCTGTGAGTGTGTATGTCACTGAACTTCTCTTAAACGACTGGACCGATTTTGACGAATTTTTTTGTGTGTGTTCAAGGGGATCTGAGAATGGTTTAGATTCACAATTTTGTCCGCTGGACAACCCCTATTTTTTTAGGGCGGTACGAAGTTCGCTGGGTCAGCTAGTGTGTATATATAAATCAAATATATATATATATATAAATCAAAAATGTTATTATCTACACTATTAAAGTATTAATCTCTTTGATATGAATGAATCACTATAATGAGCTACACAGAATTTCACAAAGAAAACAAAGCACATTTCAAATATTGCTATCTTCACTTAAGTTCAGGAGAGGTAAGGAAAAGCTGATTGAGGCGCTCGAATGTGCCCCGCTCACAATGGAGCGCCCGTCTGTGAAGTTAAAAAACAAAGAAATATCATTAAAATTATGGATTATTTTATCTTTAACCACGTCTTCTTTTCCGCGACCTTCCTCGCGATACCGTTTAAGTCAAAGAAAATAGATCACGAAAACTAACACAATCAGCCCCTTTATTATTCTATTGTCTTAATTTTTACAGAGACAATTAAAATGGCAACAGAAAAACTAACGGAAAAAGATAACTACATCGAGGACAAAAATATTTCAGCTATCCAAGGAAGCACGGTGAAATTAAAAAGAGAATTAGGCTTATTTTCTGCAGTTAATTTGATCCTAGGTGTAATGATTGGTTCTGGAATTTTTGTATCGCCAGCATCAGCTTTGGAACATTCTGGTTCAGTGGGCTTATGCCTTATTATATGGACTGTCTCAGGAATCATATCACTATTAGGTGGGTGTAGGTAAGACCTACTAAAATTATTACAAAATTAAATAATTTGTTATATATGGTACTATGAATGTAACTTGTATTTTCTTCAGGAGCCTTATCTTTTGCTGAGTTGGGTACTGTTGTCGGCAAGTCAGGAGCAGAATATGCATATTTTCAAGAGGCATTTGGTAAAACTCACAAGTTTTGGGGACCTTTACCTTCATTTATTTGTGCTTGGATTTATGTCATGATACTGAGGCCTGCTGAAGTTGCAATCATAGTAATGACATTCGCCGAATATGCGATACAACCATTTACACTAAGTTTGCAAGAAGATTACAAGGATACAGTTATTAAACTAACATCGCTGTCCGCTCTTTGTAAGTTAAGGTTTTTCATTATTATTGACCAATATTACTGCTGTAGTTAATTATGTAACAAAGACGTTCATTATTATTATGTTAATTTATATCAAGTTGATAAAGTTTATAATAATCAATAGAATAATCAATGGTGTAATTCTGACGTGATTCTCTTAACTTAAAACTAAATTTAAAATCGTTCTTTCCTTTTCATTGTGTATAACGAATGACAAGGCTACACTGGTGTCGATTCTGGCACGATTATCTAAACTTAAAATTAAATTTAACATCAGTCTGTCCTTTTCTTTCTGTATAGAGAATGACAGGGATACACTGTTGTTAAATTTAAGTTTAGCTTTAGAGAATCATGCCAGAATCGACACTAGTGTTGTCAAATTCAAGTTTAGATGTATAAAATCATGCCAGAATCGACTCCAGTATTATTCTCGACTTACAAATGCAATCAGCGCCTCACTAGTATAAACGGCCGGCTGCGTTTAAATTGTACTGTCAAAAATGACAACTGACGTGCTTCATCATCGGGAGTAAAAGGATTTTAAAACGATTGTTTTGTTTGTACAGTCGCGAAATAGTGGGAAATTCGTAGTTTTAAACATAATTTTGAGTGCGTTTCTTCTGCAAGGTAAGTAATAACATCATCTTTCTTTACTAGCGGCCGTACGCCACTTCGTCTGCGTAAACTTTAGTTATGACTTAGTTTGAAATCCTACAGGAACCTAACATTTTTTTACAATAAAAAGTATCCTGTCATAAACTACTGGCGTATCAAATTTCATCCAAATCCGTTCGGTAGTTTTGTGTGATTGAGTAACAAACACAAGCTTTCACATTTATAATAATAATATTAGTAGGATACTATGAATATATCCTTTCTATAATATAAATAGGAAGGATATATTTGAAAAGCCAAGATAATATGACATTTTGTTATGTTTCCAGAAATATGTCTTGCCAACGCAATACTGAGACACAAAATGAATTGAAATCAGACCTTAAAGCACTACAATCACATTGTATTGATACTTTTAATATTATTGAAAATACCTCATCTGATACACAGTTTGGAACACCAGAAGAAGTGTCAGAAAAAACTGTTACTTATGTTGAAGGTCTTAGAACAGAAATTGAAAATTCAAGTACCCCAATAGCAACAGACGATAATTTACTAACAACCCAATTTTTAGTAGATTTAAAGCGAAAATCTTTAGAAGTTAAAGAATTGGCAGCATTTACAAGAGGAACCATACAGGATATTGACAAAGAAATTAACAGGTGAGGTTCATTTTATTCTTATATGTTATACTTGTAGCAAATTATCTAAATAAATTCCACAATACGTACTGGGCCCACATGGTGGCATGGCCCAATCTGACTTCCATCCATAGGGAAGGCCTGTGCCCCAGCTATGATGGGATGTTGATAGGCTGATGATGATGATACTTGTATTGATACTTAGTGATAAATATGAATACTCTTCATGACTCATAGTGTATCATACACAAACCAAATGCAGTTTCTTTAAACCTTTTAGACTTTCCACTCTCATCAAAACATCACAAGAAGCAAAATCACGTCCAAAGGTACAAAGACAAGATGTTACAGTAGAACACATTCAAAAAGCCAAGGAGAGATTCCACATGATGAAAAATGAACTTCACGGCCTCATACAATCCTTGTTTCCTGGTAACTTTGAAATGATAACGGAAATCTTAGGAGTGAGTATGCCTTATCTTTGTAATTTTTATATATTAGCAATATAACAATAACTATAGATTATATCAATGTTATTTGGGATACAAGTAATTGTCTAAACCTGAGGATTGACGCACTCTGTATGCTGAAATACAGGATGAAAATCCTAGTTCAGCAGCAGATGCTTACAATTAACTTACATATTCTTAAGCTTATAATATTTATATGGTAACTATAGTTTATAAGACATAATGTTACTTACATATGCTGGTATAAATAAAGATTTTTATTATTATTTATATAATATTAATGTAATTTGTTTTAGCAACTTATGACAGAGAAATTGAATGAGACATCCAGTGGGTACATCACAATAACTTCAGAGAACTATCAACAAATAGAATTACTAAAGGACATCAATCTTGTAACAGCAAATCCCTATAATAATATGGAGGTTAAATTAGCTTACTAGTTATTAAGAAGTACCAATTAGATCTGTTATCATTATTATTAAAGCACTTTAAATACATTTGTTTTGGTTTATTTTTTTCATCAATTTGTCATTTATTTTTATATGATCATCTGCTCATTTATTTTTATACGATCATACTTAATTATTGATTTTCTTATGAATTTATTTAATGTTCTATTTTGGGTATGAATTTAAATTCTACAATTATAATTGCTACATCTTTATCCAAGTTTTGTAAACATTTAACATGTAGTTTTCAGGATAAAACATAGATACCCTTTCTCTAAATTCTTGGGTCTGAATGCTTTTTAATACCATTTCTTATACTTTGGAATTACTGTTAATATCCAATATTTACCTTAAAAAAATATATAATGCAGGTTTTTTTGTATAATTAATTGCAATTAATACCACTATCATAGATATTAATTGCAATATAAATAAATTGTAAGTTGTAACTTATAATTTTCAAACATTTTATTCCAAGAAAACAATTTCTCAACCAGCAACCTTATTGTTTCAGTTATAATGACATACATTAACATAACAAGCGTAAAATTGTTTGTGAAGGTTCAAAACATATTTGGAATATGTAAAGTATTTGCCTGTCTCATTGTTATTGGAGGAGGTATTTACGAAATTGTCAAAGGTATGTACATATATTAATCCTAATTGTTAGTAAAGAGCGACAAGGCCCTTTATGAATGTGGCGAATATTGGAACTAACGCTGCCATCTAACGTTAGTGCCATAACGCATGAGGCGCGAACTTTATAGGTATGACAACGCACTGACGTATGCGTAACTATAATGCGATTCAAAAAAGAATAGGAAAGCCAATGACCTCCAATTGTCAAATGTAGCTTGAAACGTACGGTTTGCAAAAAAATCTCGGAACACTTTTTTAGCCCTCAGCTGATTCTAGAATAAAAACCAAACCTTTTTAAACAAACAATAACAAATGTTGATAATTAATATTAGTTGATTTATTTTTTCATTTATTGAGTTTTGGCTATGCATGGTTAATAACCTAAATCGTCAACCAAATGTCACTTTTTGTTGCGTTCAGAAACTCGATTTAAGACTTTCGTTTACTTAAAGGATGCATGTTCGTATGTGACCTGCATGATTATTCATAACTTCTCCGGCGGTAATGCAGCGATGAGCGAAATTGAAGAGCTAGATTCTGATTAATGTTTTTTTTCACACAGTCTTAATAAAGAAATAGTATTAAAAATCGGTTGTGTTCTTTCTCAACCTTAGTAAATTTTTTTTTTAAATCTGATGTTTTGTCTCACTTAATCTTAGTTAATAAGTTTTATTATATAGCAACATTTTTTTGCTTACTCTACCTATTTGGTTTGAATTGACAGCTATGACGTAAAAATATGGCGCCCAGTCGGTCCTATTCTTAGTTGAATCGCATTATACGCGGGTGAACGGACGCCAATATCGAGCGCGGTGCACACGGAAAATTTATCGTTATAACTAAAATATAGATCAGGACAAGTTCCCTAAAAATCGGCAGATTTTTCAATACTTGAACATTTTGCATACAGCAGAGCCCTTCCTGAACTGTCTTTCACATTCATAAAATTCCTTGTCGCACTGTAGCTAACTGGTTTAGTACAGTAAGTGTAAGTTTGAGCACAGTAAGTCACTTGGTTTCCATTTATTTGGATGTGCACTCTTAAGACAGTGGTTCGTAACCGGTGGACCTTGGAAGCACCCGAAGTGGTCCGCGAAGCCATTCGAAAAATATTACATATGGAAGAATGCTGATTGACTTACAAATCCTAATTCTAACAAATTGTAAGTAGTCCGTGGCAAGACGGAAAGTTTGACAAATGTTCCCTCGTCACTAAAAGGTTAAGAACCACTGCTTTAGAAGGATTGGGGTCATGGTGTAGTATCCACCTATATGACTCTTTTTATTTTAGTGTTCCATATGCAAAAACGATGCAATAGAACCCTATTACTAAGATACAATGGAACCCCACTACCTGTCTGCAAGCTATACTTCATGATACGTATCAGGTAGGTAGTTGAAGTTTTTACAGAATGTGGATCGCTACTCATAACATCTAATTATAAAAAGAAATCGTACAGATCAGTTTTTTATGCAAAAGGCAGCAAATTACACTACTCTACATGCTCAAGTGTGAGTGGTGTCCAGATATGACGATATTGTACAGATTACCACAACAGCCATTCCCACCACCCACCATGCCATATAAATGTTACCATCATAATATTTACGCCTGGCAGGCGTGTGTCATCCTTGCAGCTATTTTTAATATTTATTACACAGGTAACACTGAACACCTGGACAAAGGATTTGAAGGTAGCACAACCAGTGCAGGAGGTGTAGCATTGGCGCTGTATTCTGGCCTTTGGGCGTACGATGGCTGGAACAGCGTGACAGTTGTAACTGAGGAAATCATAAACCCCGGGGTGTAAGTAAAAAAAGCTATTATTTTATGATTCTCAGCATCTATATTTGAAATGGTAGTTAGTGAATGTCAAATAGTAACACAATAATCAACAAATGCTGTACTTGACACAAAACGTGGATTGCACTCTAATTAAACTAGTAGTTGAGCGCAATACACACCAAAGCTGCCGGCCCGCCTGCGCATACTTGTATCGGCTTTTTCAATCAATCTGTCAGTGCAGGTCTTGGAACCTTGTTGGTGACATGTCGGTGACAGGAGTTGAGTAGGAAACTTTTTAAAGTGAAACTTCTTTAGGCACGCTTGACTTGGGGGGTAAACTGGCGAATGTGCGACGAGGTTACGATTAGTGTCATCGGTAAACAATGAACAATACTCGCTTTTTTTTGCAGTTTGGAGAACACAGTTAGTATATCGCCGAGCAACTATGCAAGTACACGATTCTTTTCATATATGTATTCTGACTACTGAGCAGTGCCGACGAGCCCGGACGGCTTTAGCGTGTATTGCGCCTTATATAAACATAGACTGATCAATACTATTTGCATTGGCCTCAGTCTCTTTATAGCCTCGGCTGATAACGAATCTAATTCACCAAAGAGCTTTGTTTTGATGCAAGGGCAGCATAAACGTACCAACTAGATTACTATACTATCATGTAATAAAGGCGAAAGTTGCGTGCTTAACACAATCGATTTTTTTGAGATTCTGAGAAGAAGTGTTTGTCGCCTGTTATCCTTTAGGTACCTTCATACACAGCATACACATAGTTGCGAATTGCGAATATAACATACACTAGTGAATGTTATATTCGCAACTTTATTGTTATATCAAAGGATACTACAATAGTGTTGTGTAGGTAGGTATATCGATATTTAAGAGTTACTACTGTATGCGGTGTATATTTACCGCCAGGCATATGTAAATATACTAATCTGATTTTATATCAAAACTCTTAAAAGACTTCGAAATAATTATAAATGGCCTAGAAAAAAACTCAACTCCATCGGTATTAAGAGTTCAAATGACAAAAATAGGAATACTTAATGTTTCCGCCTCTTTCTAGATTCCGTTGCTTTCTAGACAACTCAAAAATGTTTGATTAAATGAATAAGTGTTCCGAAGTATACGAAAATAAAAATGCTACTGTGAACTCTTGAACTAGGTATTTTTTATGTTGTTGACAGGAATGTCCCACTCAGCATATCGATCGCAGTGCCCCTAATCACGATCCTGTACGTGTTCATGAACGTAGCCTACATGTCTGTATTGAGTTACGCGGAGATGACGTCAGTGCCAGCCGTTGCTGTGGCGTTTGGCACCAAGGTTCTGGGTCCCGCGAGCTTTCTGATACCATTAGGCGTTGCCATAGCGACGTTCGGATGTGCAATGAGCGTGCAGTTTGGTGTTACCAGGTGAGAATCCTATGGGACTTTTTATAGGAAAAGAGTGGCAAACGAACATAATCATAGTACTTATAGCTGCTGAACTTTTGTGTTGGTGGCGTTCAGTGCAAATATTACTCGTCATTATCGCGAAGTTTGCGATAATGTCGACTAGTAATACTTTGCTAGTAATATTAGCTCCATTACTAACAGAATGGAACAAAATAATGCAATGGTTGATCTTTTCTGTTTACTTTTCTTCTTATAAAAAGACAAATACTTAACGTTATAAAGTTTTTTTAATAACGTGAAATATAAATGTCTGTCTGTAATCTTTACTGTAAACTGACAATGCAAATATTTCATGAAGATAAATGTTAAAACTCAACCTTTATTACTGTACCATTTATTTGTACTGAAAGATTACCTACTTAGTTTAAACTAATATTAATAAAGTATGACCTTGAATTTTATTGCGGGATAATATTGTTAAAGTAGGTAATATTTTGAAGTCTCTCTTTTAAAATTAAGTAAAACTTTAACTTCTATAATTTATAACATCTTGCGTCTGTGACACTAACGCCGCGCCGCTGATTTGTTTGTTCTGTACACAGTAAATGTTATGACAGTGGATGTATGTACCTGCATGCCCAGCCTTTATCCGCGTTTTCTATCTATCCCATAATAATATTACATAAAAATATTAGCTTTCTCAGACTCCACCATGAACAAAATGTGCTTAAAATTTCTACGCCTTGAATTGAGCCCCCGTGTTTCCCCCGTGGAAATTACCCCCCATCCTTGTAAGGTTTTGTAGTATTGGTGATCTTATATTTCGGTTGGTGGGTAAAGTTCCAGGACGCCACGGGGATCGGGAGACCCCTGCCGTGGAGCCCTGGCTAGGCCGGTTGCGTGCGGAGACACGGCAGAATCCCTAAACGGGGATCCCGCGGTTTCGCACTTAGCAGCTTAGAGGGTATTCGCAGCCTTTTTAAAGGATATTATGCCGTAAAGCACCCGTAAGAATTACGGGGTCCTCAGTGGGCCACTGCGGGGGTTCGTAAGGCTTGCGGGAGCCAGGTGTCAGGTCCGTTCGGCGGTGTGCCTCTTAAAGGCGCCGTCGTCTGTAAATAGAGGTTCTGCCTGCGTCAAAAAAGTACGCCACGGGAATTGGGCTTAGGCCGAAAAGGTGGGGAAGACAGGAGTGAAACACTACTGTCGCACCAGCTATCTTCGCGACTGGATTCCTCTTACACTTAACACCAATTCGGGCGAGCGGGGTAATCTCCTAAGCCTAGAATAAATAAAAATAAATAAATCATAACCTTTGTATTTAATTTTATTTTTCATTCATGTCTCAAAGTGTTTCTCTATCGATAGGGTCTGCTATACTGCTGCGCGCGGCGGTCACATGCTGGAGATGTTTTCATACGTCAATGTTAAACGTATGACGCCTGCACCTGCGGTGGCATTCCAAGTAAGTATAGATATTACTAGCGGCCGCCCGCGACTTCGTACGCGTGAAGTGAGTTAGAAATAAAGGTATACTGCTCGTTCCCCGTAGGTGATAACGTGATAATATGTAGCCTATATGTTGACCCGACTTCTTAATATTCAAATTTGAAGTAATTCCATGCAGTACTTTTTGAGTTTATCTTGTCAAATCAGTGTTCATCTGAATATAGTGGCAGTTTGACGTTGATGAATAAAATACCGCAGGCATTTTTGCGAGAATTAGTGTATTAAGACGCCGTCGTGTCTTCCGAAAGTGCACCAACAATTCGAACAATTCAAAAAAGCTAATGGTGTAACATTTCACTCGTAAGTTTTTAGATTTCATTATTTATTAAATTGATTTTCTTTATTGTCGTAAATATTGAAATATGATTGGACAGCGCATGACATAGAAAGATGTCTTGGAAAATATTGTTAGAGAAAAAGAGACAACACTATTCTCTCGGTACCGCGCTGTGCGTTTTGACTTTTGTCTGCCCATGAAAGTTTCATAAGAAAAACAATTCGAAAGAACTAATTACTGTTCTTCATTGGCATTTTAGTGACGAGCACTTAGTCCTAAAATTTATCGAATCGGTAATCTTAGGGCAGAGCATTAAAATTTTACAAAACTATAATATATTATTTATTATTGTATTTAGTTAATATAATATATAAAACTAAATTTAACGGGTTATTACACGAACTTTATTTATTTATTGACGTTTCGCAGCCTTTTCAGGTCTGCATTATTCTGACGATGCATTAACCCGTTAAAACTAGTTTTTTATTTAATGAGTGATGTGCGTGAAAACCTCAGAAACAAATAACACGACTTTGTTTTATATGTAGATTATCCGAGTAAACTATTAAACTTTTTTGTTTGTTTTATTTCGCTTGTAAAGTCCTAAATTTAATTAAGCTAGATATTAAAGATAGCTACATTTATCGACTGTTATAATGGCAGAATTGCAATGTACTTATTCACCACATAACTAAGCATTTGTATTTGTATGCTTGAACACGACTCAAGCACTTCTTGGTTCACAGTCATGCGCGGACCGTTGAAAAGTCAACATGTCGCTGAGTTCCGTGAAAAAAATGCGAAATAAATACTTATAGTATATTATTATAAAATGTCGTTTTTTCGACAGGTATCTAATCAATGTTTGTTAATTTAACGCATTTGAAGCAAATTTTGTTTTAATACTTACTATAACCTAATTTAATTAAAAATATTTGTCCGTAATATAGTCGTCTTTTCCTTGCGGTCCGTACCTGCTATATTGCTAACAGCGCATTCAGAATTACGCATAGAGTCAAAGAAATAAGGTCTGTATTCTTCCGCATATAGTCATAAGTCGTAAAATTTTACGAGATTACATTTCGGACTGTCATAACTCTTTAACGCATGCGTTTTAATTAAGACCCTATACATTGTACTTTCAAGGTGATTTTCAATGTATAAATAATGCCTTATATTGTTTACACTACGCAATCATCTTACGGAGCTCCGTGGATAGTCCAATGTAACTTTGGGACAGGTTTCGGGCATGATTTTGTTCGTTTTGGTGTATCTAGGGTATTTAATATCGTTGGTCATATCATTAGAAAAAAGATAATCTATGGTCAATCAAATTATTATGAAATACACATTAAGAACTTGTGGCCTAAATGTGTGCATGCAATTATGATCCTTAAGGTGGCAAACATTTTCTGACCGCGACAGACAAACAGACAAAAATTATAAAAACTATAATTTTGGCTTCGGCATCGATTGTAGATCACACCCCAATTAGAGCTCGTTCCCACTTGTCGGGTGTCTGATTCGTATATTTAATTTCAGAGTTTCAAATGTTACGCGTTACTGCTTACAGTAGTCGCGTATGATGTGTAACATTTGAAACCTCACCTAGTAAAAAAATAAATAAAACGTACTACAAAAGGAATAAGCCATTTGAACTAAGCTAGTTAAATAGTTGCAGCTAGTCAACTAGCTAAGCAGCTGGCTACTCAGCTAGCTAGGCGACTAGCTAGGCAGCTAGCTACACAGCTAGCTAGGCAACTAGCTACACAGCTAATTGACAACAACAAGCTCGGCGGCAAACTACATAGCTAACTAGGCAACTAGCTATGCTAGGCATCTAGCTGGGCAACTAGCTAGGTAGCTAGCTATGCAAGTAGCTAGGCAGCAAGCTGGTCAACTAGCTAAGCAGCTAGCTAGGCATCTAGCTGGGCATCTAGCTAGGCAGCTAGCTAGGTATCTAGCTAGGCAGCTAGCTGTGTAGGCAGCTAGCTAGGCAACTAGCTACACAGCTAATTGACAACAAGCTCGGCGGCAAACTATGCTATATGCTAACTAGGCAACTAGCTATGCACCTAGCTAGGCATCTAGCTGGGCAACTAGCTAGGTAGCCAGCTATGCAAGTAGCTAGGCAGCAAGCTGGTCAACTAGCTAAGCAACTAGTTAAGCAGCTAGCTAGGCAACAAGCTTGGCAGCTAGTTACACAGCTAGCTAGGCAACTAGTTAAGCAGCTAGCTTCACAGCCAGCAAGGCAAACTAGCTTGCCAACCAGCTACACAGCTATCTAGGCAACTAGCTTGCCAACTAGCTACACACCTAGCTAGGCAGCGAGCTGGGTAACTAGCTAAGCAGCTAGCTAGGCAACTAGTTAAGCAGCCAGCTACTGGGCAACTAGCTAAACTGGTTACGCAGCTAGCCAGGCCAGACTAACTCGACAGTAAGCTAGGCAATTAGCTTGCCAAATAGCTAGGCAACTAGCTCGGCAGCTAGCTACACAGCTAGCTGGGCAACTAGCTAGGAAACTAGTTAAGCAGCTAGCTAGGCAACTAGTTAAGCAGCTAGCAAGACAACTAGTTAAACAGCTAGCGAGGCAACTAGCTACACATCTATCTAGGCAACTAGCTACACAGCTAGTTACACAGCTAGCTACGCAATTACGCTAGGCAGTAAGCTAGGCTAGCTGTGTAGCTAGCTGCCAAGCTTGTTGCCTAACTAGTGGCCCAGCTTGCTGCCTATTTAGTTGCATAGCTAGCTGTTAAGCTTGTTGCCCTACTAGCTGCCTAGCTAGCTGCTCAAGCTAGTTGCTTAGCGAGCTGTATAGCCAGCTGTAGGCAACAAGCTTGGCAGCTAGCTACACAGCTAGATAGGCAGGTAGCTACATAGCTAACTAGACAACTACTACACACTAGCTACCTAACTAGCTGGGCAACTAGCTAGGCTACTAGCTAAACCTTTTTCACACCCGATCAACTGTGCTTGTTGTACAAAACGCAAGTGCGGTCCTGTGTGGAATATCGCTCGCACCTCTGGGATGGCTCCGCTAAGTACTTAATCGATGCCTTGGATAAGTTGCAGCGGCGCGCTGCCCGCATCATTGGCGATGAAGAGGTAGCTAAGAAACTCGAGTCTCTAAAATTACGCCGCGATGTGGCATCATTAAGCGCATTCTACCGACTATACCACGGCGAGTGTTCTGAGGAGCTATTCTCCCTTATCGTGGTTCTTCAGAGGACCACGCGCGCTGGCCTTCTTTGCCACCGACTTACTGTGGCCATTTTTCCTACACGAACAAAGAAATTTCGTTACTCATTTGTTTGTCGTACTATTCGTAAGTGGAATTCTTTACCCGCGCACATGTTCCCACCTTCTTATCTGGGGTCCTATAAGAGAGGCGTGAAGCATTTTTGCAAGCCGGCAAGGTGAGGATGGTTGGTGTAGCAGATTATAACTGCTGTACTAGCTATCTTCGCGTTTGGACTTTTTCACCACTTAACATCAGGTGGGGTAGAGTCATTTGCCTACCTAGCTATACAAAAACATATTAAACTTATTAAAAAAAAATGATATAATTTTTCTGACAAATTTTCTCTCCTTCCTTTTTTGTGTTATGTCCAGCCCGATATAGTTTGATACTTCTTCGCAGATTCTTAGATCAAAACCTTTTCTTAATGTTTCCACTACATGCACCAAGTCTTCTTCTCTCCCACCAAGTACTAGTCCATATTTTTAACGTGAAGGTCGAACGCCTCCCTCAACAGAACGAACGCTACGTGCTAAAGCTAATGCTTTTGCGCTAATGCGCGCCGCGCCTGTCCCTGAAATTTTTTTGAATTTATAGTTCATTTCTCAGCCACCAGCCGCGCTGCCGCAACAAAATTTCTTCGCGGCATTGGTCTATTCAAATTAGCGCACAACAGCCCACTTTTACTGAGATAACTAAGCGATCGCAGCGCCTCACTTATTTTGTCCATATTTCTGGGACACTATTTTCTATAGTGATCGTTCTCCTTATCTCTAACCTCCGTGGTATCTTACTTCAACGACAATTGTGTTGTGAAACAAGGGTATTTTTAAAGAAAATATAACTAGAAAAAATTCCACGCGGACCAGGCAGCAGACGGGACTCGAACCAATTATGCTACCGCGGCCCTCACGGACCGCGTCGAAATTCCCCTAGCCATTCTTAAGCTGCAAGGCAGCGATTTAAACATCAAGCAGTTACATGCTTTAAAAAATATAAATCATAACTAAGGGTATGTTTTTAAGTCGTCATAGTTGTCAAATTGGCAGTAATTCTTAGCATGAAATCGGGCTGTGAGATTTCCGTTAAAATTGTAGTGTTTTCGTTGTTAGTTACAAAATGGCGCGCTACGAAAGCTTGAAAAGATAAATTCTTATTCAGAATAATTTATACAGAAGGAATATTTTTTTTCTTTGACATCACTGATTTGAAATAACGCGCGCTTCCCAAACTTCCTGTTACACACTTCCGTCCCATTTCACGTAATCACTCCCACAAATTGCACGATGTTACCACTGGTTACACATCAATAATAACTGTAACTTTTCCGAAGAAATAAAATAAAATACCTTAATTGTGATAAAATAGAGATGAATTTGCTATATGCGAAAAGCATGAAACCAGATCGCGCCGAATAAGTAGGAACACCTGAACAGTGGGAAAATAGAAATGAATTTGCTACAGTCGAAGCAGGCGAAATACATGACGCGTCGCGTCGCTTCGACTCTACGCCAGTGTAAGTTACGCTTTCCTTATATCCCATCTCCCACTGATTTGATAGAAAATCTAAAAGACCATCAGGCACATTTCCACAGTGAATACTGTCTCTTCCTTGTATTGGGTTAATGTCGTTAAACTTTATTAAATAAGGTATCTAGGTCTCCATATCACTGTGGAGCTGTGATCGTTAGTATACCTACATTATTATATTTTCATCATCATCATCAGAGGTCCAAGCACGAACTTTGTCAGCTCCGTAATCGTATCGTCATCGTCAAAAGTTGTATGGAAGGTTTGTTCTTACGCTGCTAACTTTTCATAAAAACTTTGACGATGCTTTTGAGAGCTGTCAAAGTCCGCGCTTGGGGCTCAGTCACTTTCCTCCGTGGGCTCAGTCTTTCATGTTCTCGCTTCTGGGGAACAGGTCTTCTCTATAGGGAGAATATTGATAATAGAATAGATATAAATAATAAATTTAAAATTTTAGTATAGGCTTTATATTAAAATAGCACCTTAAATAATTGTTGCATTTTATTTACTAATTTTACTTGAATAAAGGTTAACGCCACATATGGCAATGGTTGAGTGTCAGTTTTCTCGCTATCTAGTATCTATTGATCGATTTAACTATCTACGTGGCGTGAGAAAACCAGCATCTGGCGTATTGTTCATACTTACACATATTGTATACACACATCCTTTCGTGTCATTTATCCGGTGTGTGGAAAATAAACTTCATGAATGGACCGAATGTGCCTAATAGGTACCTACATAAATTGTTTTAGTGGTACTTATTTGGTATAATTGCCTTTTATTTGACGACCTCCGTGGTCCAGTGGTTTGTACGCCAGGTTTCATGGTGTCGCTGACTCGAGAGGTTCCGGGTTCGAATCCCGGTGGGGGCAGATGTTTGTGTGTTATGAATACGAGCATTTGTACTCCAGTCATGGATGTTTAATTTATGTATTTCTATATAAATATACTTATATATGTACTGTATATGTATTCTATCTGTTACCGCCTAGTATCCCCCATAACACAAGCCTTACAGTGCTTACTCTGGGATTAGGCTAATTTGTGTAAGTGTTCGAAATATTTATTTATTTATATGTAAGTGGTTTAGGGCACTTTAACCGGTTGGATGTATTCAAAGTCTATGGCTAAGAACTCGCAGAGCGGTTTTTTCCCGCACACGCGAGCTGTTTTATATCAAAACTCACGAGAGTGCAGCTTTCTGCGGTCCCGCAGTCGCGGCGTTCTTCGCTTATAACAAACATAGGCACAATAAAATTACATGTTTTTTAACTCAAGATAATATCTTTGTATACCATTCCTCCGAGTGCAAAATTATCTATAAAGGTGTACGAAAATTTTACTTTACGTATTAATATAATGATTCTCATTAATTTCAGGCGATCCTCACTTCAATATTCATCATAGTCGGCAACATTCGGACACTGATCGAGTTCGCCAGTTGGTTCCTTTGGTTCTTCTACGGTCTTGCGATGGTGGCTTTGCTCGTACTCAGAAGGACTCAAGCGGCTAAACCCAGACCGTACAGAGTGCCAACGCTAGTACCATGCTTCGTACTCCTCGTAGCTGTGTTCTTATCGGTACTGCCTATTGTACACGACCCGTCGCTTAAGTACCTGATGGCGGTTGGGTTCATAGTGATGGGAGCTGTGGTGTACACGGTGTTTGTGTACCATAAGAAAACTCCTACCGCTCTTTTAAGTAAGCGAAAGTTTTTAGTACCAATCTATTCTTAGAATTAATGTAGTGGAAGTATTAATGATCTGCCTTATGATGCCCTCACTCAAGGGCGTCACAAAGGGCTATGAACTCCCCGCCCCTCCTAAGCCATCGGATGTATATGAACTGCCTCCCGAGCCTAGGCCATTGGCTGGTGACGCCCTTGTCCTCACTGCTGGGTCACAGAACATATATAATAAGGACAGTAAGTAACGCTGATCGGTGGGTGTTTACAACTACAGATGCACCCGAAACCATCGACTGTCTTAGTAAAGTACGTCAAGCACTCAATATAATAGTAATAGATTGTTGATCACCCATCAGGTGACAGATGTCTGCGAAAGTCGCTTAATTATCAGTGATCTAAGAATTTACGAGTAATGAAACTATTATCATCATCAACCTATTAATGTCCCTACTGCTGGGGCACAGACCTGCCCTATGTATGGAATAGGCAGATGAATAGGGAGATTGGGTCATGCATGAACCAACACGCGGCTATAGTGCGAATTGGTGAGTGCTGACGACTGCAGTATTGCAGCCGTGATCAACCGCTTGTGTCTTCCGAAACGCAGGATCTCGAGGTAATAAATTTTTGGTCACCAATCCGATGGCCGACCATTGCGAAAGTCCACGGTCCACTCATCTTCCACGGCCTCAGATCGAACATAACGCGAACGTAACCAGCATTTGCGCCATCGAGCTTCATGAAAACAATATAAATATTTTTTTAATCATAGTTTATCAACACTAAAGAGAAAAAAAATACTTAAAAAATTTACAATATATCTTATTTTTTTTACAGGAAAAATCACATTCCTGACTCAAGTGCTGTTTGAGAGTGTGCCACCAAGTAATCGTCAAGACTGAGAATTTATTATATAATACATAAGTTAAAAATTTGATACGCCTATATTTGTAAATATTGTTTTAAAAATAGTATAGTTAGTTATTTAAGAATGGACCTATATAAAATATTTCATTAAATTTGTACACTACCTACTACACTTTATTACGCTTTTATTTTCTATTTTCCCGATTGTTTACTTAGGAGTGGTTCTCGAACACTGCTAAAAATTTATCTGACTGATATCGTATTATACGAACAGAATAAAGAGTTGATTTGTGTTAATTGGTGTAATGGGAATGTGACGGATGACATCTCTCTTATAGTTGATTGAGTTAAGTTTTATCCGAGTTCTGAAAAATCTGCGTATATACTGTAATAATACTTAACATAAAACAAAAAAAAACCGACTTCAAAATCGAAAATGGATATAAAAAAATATACAGGTGAACACAGAAACTCCTCCTTTTTTGAAGTCGGTTAAAAAGTAAAAATAACATCTTGGAAGTCGGGCGGCTCAAGAATGAAAGACGTATTATTACCGATCACAAACGAAAATCTATTTAATGTTTCAATGCTGTCCCCGCCCGACTTCCAAATCGTGAACTAGATATTATTTTTTACTTTTTAGTTTAATTTTCGATTTTGAAGACGGTTTTATTATTTATTTAAAGAAAAATATTCAGCCAATTTATTGAAAATTACATCGTCCAAGTAAATAAGCCCAGGTTGTTGTTAATGCATATCCCCATCATGTCTACACAACCCTTATTGCTCAGTGCACCACCCTGTTTAAAAGTATTCTGTGACTCTGTGTGAGTATGAAGCAATATCGAATTCGAATAGTTTGCGAGTCCGAAATGTCATTGTCAAATGTTTACTGATTTTTGTAGTGAAACTTCTATACGCACGCTTGACTATGGGGGAAAGCTGGCGAATGCGTTACGCGTTACGAAAACTGTGATCGAGCGTGGCGAGCGGGAGTTGAGTGGGTATATAAGCAAGAGAAAACAGTGCGCGCGAACATTTTCTTTCTCTCTTTTTCTTTTAGCTAGTAAATGAAATATGTATATGTACAAACATTTGTATATCGTACACATAAATATATATATATATATATATATTATAAGTTTCACATCAGTCGTGTGGTCCTAAGCATACTCGTTCTTTAGTTCTCGTTACGTCTTTTGTATGGAAAATTGAACAGCAGCGCCAAAACAACTACGTATGTAATTCGATAATGGTTCGTGCTAGGGGTACAGTACCCCTAGTACGTTAAATAGCCCCAGTAATCGAATTCGAATAGTTTGCAAACCGAAATGTCAAATATTGTATGGAAACTTGAACAGCAGCAGCGGCACAAAGTACTTAACGAGAACAGTACATTCAGTATACATTTGACAATGACATTTCGGTTTGCAAACTATTCCTCCTAGCACGAACCAATATCGAATTCGAATAGTTTGCAAACCGAAATGTCAATGTCAACTTTTGTATGGAAACTTGAACAGCAGCTCCAGAAAGTACGTAACGTAAATATTATAACCACATACTGGTGTCGACTCTGGCACGATTCTCTAAACTTAAATTTGACAACAGTGCATCCTTGCTATTCTCTATACAGAATAAAAAGGAGAGACTCATGTTAATTCTTCATCATGTTAGGTTCAATTTTTTTTTAAATGTAGTAGTTAGAACGTTTCCACTTCCATCCTAAAATATTGGAAGGAACGTTTCCTATCGACTTTTAATTGGGGAAACAAATGGTGGTATTCCCCATATTCACTCCTTAATCTATTAATTTCGTGAACACCGATTCTCTCACGTTTTAATTTATAATGACAACTATCAGAAGCCATTAACAAGCATCTTCATTACAAAACTCCTCCATGTTTACAACTGCGAAAACACCCCCCAATTTAAGTTTCTGGATCTACAGCTTTAAACGCGTCGAATGAGAAAGAAAGACTGTTGAATGACTGTCGATTGCGACTTTTTACAGATTAAAAGTTTATGAAGTGGTTTTATTTTTATATAAAATTTAATAAAACCCCCGTTTCCCCCAAAACAAAATTTCTTCCCCCATTAATTCCCCCATCGCTTTAAAAACCCCCCAAATTTGGGGTAACCCTCCCCCAACTTGGCAACAGTACTCGCGTCCTCGTCTTGTATTATCTGCCTCCACTGTGGCCATAACCTGCTTTCCTCAAGCTGACATCTCACGAGCCTGTTTTCTGAATCTGAATCTGCGTGCACTCTGGCCGTACCCTAACACAAGTAGTGAACGGCAATTCAGATCTAGTTATAAGTTCTTACTAATTATCAAGCATCTTATTACTAATATGACTACAACTACAATAGTGTTGTAGTGCATACCTACATATAGTTCAACATTTTGTTTTTTTTTGTAAAGAAAGAGCTAAGGGTTTTTACTTAGTCCATGCTTGAAATAAATAAAGGGAGTTTCTCGGTTTCACAATGACAACCCCGAATGTATTTTTCAAACATGCGAAAGTGACGGACGACAGCCGCTGGTTTTGTCAAACCAAATTTTGTTGAAAATAAATTGGGAATTTTACACAGACCCTTGCTAAATTGACTTAAGTTTATAGAATATCATGGCTTACCATTACGTTGTTACTGCTCAAAAACCTACAGCTGTTACAGCATGTGTTACAGGTAAAAAAATACCAAATGAACACCATTTAAACATTGAGGTTAAACTATCAGCATAGTTTATCGAGAGTTATTTTCGTAATAAATTGACGCTCTAGTTTTCCTGAGTGTTTTCTTTCGGTTCACAGTCAAGAAAATTCGAAAATAACTCGAAGTTCCATGGTACAACCTGATATTACTACATAAAAAGCAATTTGTTGTTAGCATGCTAAAATTTCATACCAAACCTTTGGATAATCCATTGTTTTCAGTAGGTTTTTATGGATTTACTTGCGAATTTATAAATGAATTGGTAGCTACGTGTAAATATATAATACTTATCTAGGGCTGTGTGTCATAAAATCTTTGATTTTAGGCAATTTTACTTCACCAACTGACTTAAACCTCCTAGTGGCAAAAGTTACCCGTTTGGAGATGTACTTAGTGACCCCCGAAGGCCTTCGCCCTCTTAAAGAGGTTGGATTGTATGGCAGAGTGGCTAAAATGAAGATGTTTAGACCACCGGTATGTTTTGTGATTGCAGTCTACAAACCTATTTGATTTTCTTTTTATTGATAATGTTGTCTTTAGTGAATTCAACCATACTTAATTAAATTTTTCAAACAGTCACACAAATAAATTGTTTTAAGTCTAATCAATTTCGACATATAGAATTTCTGTGATTTGATATTAAGTTAAGTAACCATACAATAACTATTTTAGGATGAAAATAAAGATTTAGTCTTTATTTTAACGGCACGCTACAATGCCATGATTTTGGAGTGGAAGACTGGTCCTAATGGCCAATTGGAAGTGATCACCAGGGCCCATGGTGATGTTTCGAGCAGAGTTGGTAAACCATCTGAGAATGGTATGTTGGCTGTCATAGATCCACAAGCCAGAGTAATTGGATTAAGACTTTATGATGGACTATTTAAAATAATTCCTCTGGACAAGGATTCAACAGAGCTGAAAGCGGCTTCATTGAGGTAAAATAAGTACAACATTCAGTACTTCATTATTATCATTTCACCTATAACATTTTCTTTATGTAATAATACATCATCATTAATTCATGTTTCTAGACTTGAAGAATTAAATGTTTATGATGTTGAATTTATGCATGGTTGCGCAAATCCTACACTTATTTTAATACATCAAGATCTCAATGGGCGACATATAAAGGTAATTGGTTATCTAACAAGCTTAGGCAACAATATAAAAGAACTTATTTGTTGTGTATTTAGTTATTAATTGGTTTATAATATTTTTTTAGACTCATGAAATTAGTTTGAGGGATAAAGAATTTTGTAAGATCCCATGGAAACAAGATAATGTGGAAACAGAGGCATCAATACTTATACCAGTGCCTAGTCCCCTTGGTAAATAATGTTTTTTATATTATGAGTTAATGTTGTATTCATCTCGATGTATAAGATATTTGTAAATCTGATAACTTGTTACCAGGTGGAGCTATTGTAATTGGACAAGAAAGTATTGTATACCATGATGGACAAAACTATGTAGCTGTTGCTCCACCACAAATCAAGGTATATTCATTCATATTAGTATTTTTAATATAACTTTTATGTTAAAACTCAATTATTATATGTCATCAAATGATGAAACAATACAAATTTGTTAAAAAGTTTTATTCATCATGAAATGATTTTTATCAACAGTTGACACCAATAAATTGCTACTGTCGGGTGGATACTCGTGGGTTACGATATTTATTGGGTGATATAGCAGGACGTCTGTTCATGCTTCTTTTGGAATTGCATGAGAAGATGGATGGCACACAGACTGTCAAAGACCTGAAAGTGGAATTGCTTGGTATAGTATACAATCGATATTTCTCTCGAATGAATAATATTAATTAATTTATTGAGACTTTCTTCTGTAAGAAAAGAAAGCTGTTATTAAGAAGCCAATGCTTGGTTGAATGGGATCAGTTACATGGCAGTACAGTTACCAATATATAATTATGAGATATGGGCCGACAAGTCAGGGTAGACGACTATTCTGCCCCTTCTAGTCGGAATAATTTACAGTCAGCAACTATTCGGCAAAACATAATTAACATATGAAATAAAACTCAAAACTTGTGCTTGTTTTTTGATATCTAAACAGTACTTGAGTAATTATCTAAACTTACCTAGTCTTAATTAAAGGTAACATAAAGGAATTAGGAATTGAGGAATCAGTAATTTAGACAACATAATAACTATGGCATTTAACAAAATAGCAATCAATTGGAAGTAGGTATAATTATGAAAATTGTGATATAAGTTCTATTGCATGAAGTTTTGACACTAACAGTGGCGAAGCCTACTTAACACGATTCCTGCCGACTTTCCTTGGCAGATTCTAATATATTTACATTCAAGCACAAGCGACCATTGACATACAAAACCGTTAATCCAAGCGACATAATTACATTGCGCGCTTTGTAAAAATATTCTTGAATATGCTGCATACAAAATACGCAATGTATTTGAAATAGCGAACACGCACACACAGGTCCACGCCGCGGTAGTAGGCTGGATGAGCCACAAATAATGTTGGGAAATCAAAAAAAATAAAATGTAAGCACTTTACGCACACATACACATTACTACCACATGCAACCACTCGTCGATATCACAACAATATAACCCGATCTTAGGTACCCTGCAATCTTTATTTGTGATGTGTTAAGGTTCCGTTTCGCTTGAAAAGTTTTCGTCCAATCGACAAGGCGCTCGGCTCTGTTGACCTGAAGTAGAGAGGTCATTGTTTCGCGCGCATTCGCATAGACTGATTCGAATGATAATTTATCTATTGTGACAAGTAATTAGCTTGATTTTGGTATATAGCAAGGCAAGCACCATACCTAACATTTCGTTTCGTATTTTTTGGTCTGGATTTACCATTATTTTTTTTACCCCAGCCTTGATGACGGATGAGTAGACATTTCGTCTCAGTGCTGCCACCTGGTGCGCCGGTTATTTATTTATTGGATTAACCAACGTCTGTTTACAGTAATACTTAGACTAAATTCATAAAAGAATTCCCTTATTCAGTAAGTCACAATTAGACACACAAACACGCTGCCTGTGCAGTGCAATATAAAGATATTGCGTATATTCTGTATTATAAAGATAAAACAATGCCTAGTGAATAATGAACAGTGAAATCTATTGTTTGTATAGACGCCTCACTTTTGATGAAAGCTGATATTCCATTCCTTGTGGAATTCCCGCATGAACATCATCTGTGTCAAATTATTTACTTAAAGTATAAATACCGAGACAGTGAAAGAAATGAACTGTGAATGGGCTGTCGCTGTTTAGACATTTCACTTGTCGTTCATTGCCGATAAATGATCGCATATGCATGACCAGTGCTAGTGAAAACAATCATAAGCCGGAAGCTTTTATCTCAAAGGCACATCCCGATGAACATCAATTTAGACATTTCTTTTTAGAAACTGAAATCAAAAGTGAATCGTCTAATTTCAGATTAAGATAGGTATTAGAATGATCGGCATTGCCGTAAAGTTGATACTTTTAAAAACTGATTAGTCAGCTAGTCGGTTAGTCGGCAAATACTTCGGCCCATTTCTAATATTTTAATTGCTTTATTATCATATGACCCTATAGTTAATTTGTTCCTTGACTTTGTTTATGCTACTAGGTGACATACCCATCCCTGAGTGCATGACCTACCTCGACAACGGAGTGGTATTCATCGGGTCTCGTTTAGGAGACTCTGCTCTAGTTCGTTTGTCTGCAACACGGGATGAAGCTAACCAGTACGTGCAGCCGATGGAGAGCTTCACGAGCCTCGCGCCCATAGTCGATATGTGCGTCGTGGATTTAGAGAGACAAGGCCAGAATCAACTCATCACCTGTTCTGGTATGTGAATCGTCTTCATTTACCTATATATTTTTTTATTAAATACTAGTTGACCCCGCGTACTTCGTACGGATTAAAATAATTTGGAAGAAATGACGGACCCGAGTCTACCGTACCAAAAGGGACGAACGTCAAATGTTTGACAGGAAAAAAGATAGAACAGTTTTTATGGGAAAATTAAATTGACGTTTTTACTATCTTCCTCGCAATTTTACCATGTTTTCTCACCTTTTAAACCTTCCCTAGAACATTTCAAGACCAAGATAAGTTAAATCCGTTCAGCCATTCTTGAGTTTTAGCGAGACTAACGAACAGCAATTGATTTTCTATTAAACTGATTCTTTGACTTTAATACTTTCTTAAGATTTTGTATAAATATTTATACAAAAGGGTAAAGAAATAGCATGATTCTCTTAACCTAAAATTAAATTTGACAACATTGTACCCTTGTCATTCTCTATACAGAATGAAAAGGAAAGACTGATGTTAAATTTAGTTTTAACTTTACAGAATCATGCCAGAATCGACACTAATACCAATATTATTTTATGATTGGTTTGCTATTTTTTTCCTGTAATGTAACTGTCATCAGCAGCGGTACCCATAGATGCCCCTACTATACGCCTTCCCAATGGAGGGAGTAGGAAGTGCAGATGGTAGGCCACATGAGTTATTCGGAACAAAAAGGGAAATGAGCCTAGTGTGGTTTGTTAGGTGCTAACGACCGCCGCCGAAACCTTAACATACTTTCCAAGTATAAGAGATACTAGAGATTGCTAAATCTTGTGGTCAATGCGAAAGGTATGGTCACAAGAATTTGCTATCAGAAGGAAGTTGCTCAACTTCTATGACTCAACGCACTGCACCATCAAGCTCCTCCCAATAAAGTTTCGGGTTTTATACTATCCCATACTTGGTTTGTACGATATTTTTCATTGGCAGGCGCATTCAAAATGGGTTCCCTCCGCATCATCCGCAACGGGATAGGCATCCAAGAACAGGCGTCCATTGACCTGCCCGGCATCAAGGGCATGTGGGCGCTCACTCTCGCCGAGAACTCTTCGCACCACGACACACTCGTATTAGCTTTTGTAGGACAGACGAGGTATAACAATAGTCTGTCGTTTTTTTTCTTTCTATTGATTACTTCTTCCTGTTTTTTTTTTTTAAGCATTTAAGTGGTAGATGTTTAAATCTAAATACAAGATAACTAGAAAAAAAATCCACGCGGACCAGGCAGCAGACGGGACTCAAACCCGCACACTTGGCTATACGGGCGAATGCACAGACCATTATGCTACCGCGGCCCTGACGGCCACGCCGGATTTTCTCTAGCCTTAGGCTGCAAAGCAGCGCCATCTCTTCGCATTGTAGGTAACCCACAATCTCAAATGTCAAATTAATACTTGCACTGACCATTATGCTACCGCGATCCTGACGGCCCTGTCGATTTTCTCTAGCATTAGGCTCCATAATGGTCAGTGCATTCGCCCGGATAGCGAAGGGTGCGGGTTCGAGTCCCGTCTGCTGCCTGGTCCGCGTGGATTTTTTTCTACTATACTTTTCTTTAGGTTTAAAACATCTAGCAGTTAAATGCTTAAAAAATAAAATTGCTGCGCATTGTAGGTAACCTAAAATGTCAAATAAATACCTTTACAAGTATTTTTTTTTTGTAAGTTCATGTCCATGCGCCTTTTTGCTTAGCTGCATTAGCAAGATTTCCGCTTTTTGTTTAATCGAATGTGGAATTTGAGAAGTTACAATTCAGAGGAAAAAAAAGTGCGACCTAATTAAGGCACAACATGGTTGTACTTCTCCGATACGCAGAATACTTGTGTGGCAATCAGTGACGTATAAAAACAAGTACACTTACAATCGCGCTCAAAAATTGTCGGAAGCAAATTACGCACATTCGTCAATTGAGCGTAATTTTCAAACCGTAGTGCTGAAAAATTCTCGCTTGAATGCAATTGACATTGAACCTTACTGCCACGACATAACGTGTTTTTATTTGAACAAATGTGTTAATGTTATCTGTATAAGTTGTAGTAGCACGCCGCTCTGGTGTTTTTTGATGCACTTTTATTAAGCAATTTGGTGTCCCTTTTTTAATACGTCATTGGTGGCAATAGCAATTGGGCTCAAGATTTACTGTCTCAATCTTAATACACCCCATTTTCAACAGGGTTTTGGCACTCAACGGTGAAGAGGTAGAAGAAACTGAAATCAAAGGGTTTGTGTCAGACAGGCAGACATTCTTCACAGGCAATGTTTGTCATGATCAGCTAATACAGGTGAGTACTAAATCTGGTTGAAGATAAATCTAATTTAACACTACATTAAAGCGAACTTAATTTTATCTATTAAACATTTCTAAGGGCAGAACTAATGAATAAGAAATAATATGAACTACACTAAAAAAGTGGTTCGATCCAATAAAATGTCCATCCAAAGGATAGCCGAATTCATTGGCAGATATTTGATTTTTAGCAAAGTATTTTTTTTTTGTGTGCGTGTTGTGTTAGTATTGAAGTTTAGTTGAATGACTTTGAAATCCTGGTTTAGCGTTATTTGATAGGGAGTAACGCTTCAATATCATTTCTAATTCGTTGGGCAGATCATAATGCATAATACTCTCATTATAACGTCTGTGACAGTAGTTTCTAAATTTAGTACAGATTATGTATGCTATTTGCATCGTAACGGTTAATGATCTTATATTTAATTTGAACAAGTCGCAGAGATTTTTAATTCATGATATTATGCGTCTGGTCTGCCTTTTTCCCTTTATTTTGGCCAATATGAACGATCTTCACTAGAGATCGGATAATCGTATGCATATTTACCTACAGTTGACAATTGGCTATTATGGAAAACACATTTTCATCGAAAAATCCCGCGATACCGGTAAATTCATATTTAAGTGTATACTCCGTGAAATCTAATAAACCCAATTTAACACAAATAGCAGTTGCCCTGAGACAACGTAATATGGTTGCTTTTCCCTACTTTATTATCAGTGATTCCCGGGATTTTATTTTTAATATAAATTACCTAAGAAGCCGCTTCCATTATTTGTAAGGCAAATATATGCATCCGATTATCCGATCTCCAATAATTATTAGATTATTAGACTACCTCTCCACCGACGGCCAAGTGGTTTATACGCCGGGTTTCATGGTGTCGCCGACTCGAGAGGTCCAGTGTTCGAATCCCGGTGGGGGCAGATGTTTGTGTGATGAATACGAGCATTTGTACTTCAGGCATGGATGTGTAATATGTATTTCTATCCGTTACCCTAGTATCCCATAACACAAGCCTTACAGTGCTTACTTTGGGGCTATGTGTGAGTGTGTGTGAGTGTTGGAAATATTTATTATTATTATTTATAAAATGACTGTCAATCTGACCATTTGGTTGGTTATAGGTGACTGACGAAGGCATCCGCCTCATAGCTCGGGGCCCCACCGGTTGGGAATTAGCGGAACAATGGAGTGCGGGAGGATCACGCGGCGTTTCTGTAGTAGCTTGCGGAGAAACGCGCGTAGTTTGTGCGGCCGGACCGCGGATCTATCTGGTCGCTATACATCAGGGCAAGCTGGAACCGCTCGCGTGAGTTAATATTATCTATGTAATTACTCAGTACATGAACAGGACTGTGACAATATATTGCGAAGAAACGCGCGTAGTTTATGTGACCGGACCTCGGATCTATCTGGTCTCCATACATCGGGGCAAGCTAGAACCGCTCGCGTGGGTTAATATTATCTATGTACATGAACAGGTGACAATATATGGCAGTGGCTTGCGGAGAAACGCGTGATATTATACTGATTTACTCTATGATGTTTTAATATTATAGATATGTGATAACCGCTTCTAATTTGGCAATGCGAAAGTCGGGTAATTGCCTGACTTGCATTCAGTCGAGCACGCTCTCTCGCCGCGGCTACACTTTGCTACAACGTGTAAATATTTTGCATTTTTCCAGACTAAAAGCCCTATGTGTGACAAAAAAAATATGTCATTTCATTCGTAAGTTAATTTGACAGTTGCTGACACCGTTAACACTAATGAGGCTAAAGAGCGAGATTTAATCTGCTTAATGAATGAGAGTGAAACAGACTACTTTAGTGCACTCTATTGGCGGCTGTTGCCAAGGGAAGTTGGGGCGGGGACTACTTGTGCCATTTTCACGGAAACGACCTAGTACCGGTTATCTTTAATTGGTCGGATTATATCGAAATAAGTACTTAGAAGTGATGATTTGAACTCTCACAAGGTTCATCAAGGTTGTAATGATTCGCTCTTGACTTTATTTCGACCAATACAACATATTTCTTCATTGAGGAGCTCGATGGCGTAAGTGGATAGCGCCTTCGACCTGCGATCGTTGAAGTCAAGCATCTTCCGCATAATAGTCGTTCATTGGATGAAAAATTTATTTATCTCGAGCTCCTCCATGCTCCGGAAGGCATGTTAAGCCGTTGGTCCCGTCTGTCAGTGGGTGGGTCATGGCTCAATCTCCCTATTTCATCTATAGGGAAGACCTGTGCCCCAGCAGTGGGGACATTAAATAGGCATGATGATGATGAACTCATTTCTCGCGTGACGCAGTTTTTTTTACTTATTCCATAGTGAGGTTTGCATGGAAGAAGAAGTGGCGTGTTTGGATCTGGGCCCGGGGGGTGAGAATGCACTGCTGGGCGTGGGCCTTTGGACTGACATCTCTGTTCGCGTGCTGCGACTACCGGACCTCAGGCCGTTACATACAGAGAAACTGTCCGGAGGTATGAACTATGACGTATAAACTAGGATAAAATTCTCATATTTATCTCCACTTCTAGTCAAACTTGTACTTTTCTTATAATTCTTGCGCCGTTCAGTGAAAAAATGAATGCGTAGAAATTTATAGAAAAATATTATTTTTTTCGTCAATATATTTTCATTTCATCACTTGGATATTGAATTTAGTGAAAGGTGCAGTGTTTCATATTCATACTCCAAATGTAGGGTAATTGAGTACTTATGTCAGAGTAATAAACCAAACTTGTTAAATGTAATTTGGTGATAGCGTCGAATTTATAATGTATTTTAACTATATTATAAAGATGCAGGAAAAATATACTGTAATCCTTAATTTAATTTAAGTCAATATAAATGTATGCTTTAAAGGATATTAAGCATGTTGTATGTTATTTGTTTCTTAGGTTTTCACGCACATCACTCATTAAACAAAACAAGTTATTACGGGTTAGATGTACTGTATTTATTTATTGACGTTTCGCATCCAAAAACTTGTTTTATTTAATGTTGTATGTTTATAATTTCTTTCTAGAGATAATTCCTCGTTCTCTACTAATATGCGTACTGGAAGGTGTTTGCTACTTACTATGCGCTCTCGGCGACGGCTCCATGTTCTACTTTACTGTGGACCAGGAGACTGGTGTGCTTAGCAATAAGAAGAAATTCACGCTCGGTACACAGCCCACAGTTCTCAGAACATTCAGGTAGATTTTTATCGCTAATTTCACAAATTTATACAAGTTAAAAATGTCTTATTTGTGTAAAATGTTTGGATTTTAAATTGAATCGCTGTCATGATAATTGTAAAGCTTCTTACATTTACGAAATAACAGTTTTAAAATTAATTACATAGTAAAATTTTAAATACTACTGTTTGTTCCCCAGTAGATTTGGGGCCATTCATAAAATACGTCACACGTTAAGGGAAGTCCTAAGTTTCGTGACGTCAAAATCTAATACCTACTTTTGAACTAACTGTGACAAGGACGGGGGAGGGGTAAAAAAACACGTAATTATTGTGATGTACTTTATGGATGAACCCATTGTAGCGATTTTGATAATCTTATTTAAATAATATAATATCTTGTTCCCTAGATCATTATCAACGACAAATATATTCGCGTGCTCCGACCGTCCCACGGTGATATTCTCGTCCAATCACAAATTAGTATTTTCCAACGTCAATCTCAAGGAAGTGACTCACATGTGCTCTCTCAATGCTGTTGCGTATCCAGACAGGTAAGTCAACCTTATTTTAACTGGATGATTTCTTGTTTGTCAATTATATCTATCGTGACTGCACTTCACAGGGCTATTCGTATTTGGTATTGGGCATTTTGACATCAGGTTGTTCTTATCGCTATAGTAATATAAGTTATTTACGGGATTGTTACTATGTATCTTGTTTTAAGCGAGTTTCAATATCAGGACGGGACGGGATGTTACCATGTACAGTGGGGGTCACGGGCGCCTGCACACTTCAAAAAATATTTCCTGTGCAAGCGCTAGACGGGTGATTTTACGGGCCCATCCTGATTGGTCGTAGTATTTTACTATAACCAATTAGCATAGCTTTGCACTGGGTGCATTTATGAATGATGCGTGCGAGAGTAAATATTATGCGCGACGTTGCTCTATTCCGCTACACAGCTACAGCCAGCGGTTTGGCAACATCTCGGGATTTCTGTGATGCGCGTGCGATATCGGGACCAAATAAAGAAATAATAAAACAACAATAACATTCATACGCGTAATTTTACATTTGGTTTCGATTTTAATATTGAATTCATGAATCTGGTATAATCATATTTTTAAAGTAAACCTATATATAACCTTTTTACTCTCAAAAAGAATGAGTTTAATAATTATTTCTTTTATTATTATTATGCTCTTGTAAAAATAGGTACAAGCTTTCCGTCAGCGGCTTCGCACGCGCAGAACAAAACTTTGATCCTACATTTGACGACCTCCGTGGCCTAGTGGTTTGTACGCCGGGTTTCATGGCGTTGCCGACTCGAGAGGTCCCGGGTTCGAATCCCGGTGGGAGCAGATGTTTATGTGATGAACACGAGCATTTGTACTCCAGTCATGGATGTTTAATATGAATTTCTATATAAATATACTTATATATGTAAAGTATATGTATTCTGTCCGTTACCCTAGTATCCCATAACACACAAGCCTTATAGTGCTTACTTTGGGGCTAGGCTAATTGGTGTGTGTTGAAAGAAAAAAAAAAAAAAATTGTAACCACTCAGAGTGTAAATTAGAAAATACTACCATTTTGTAATTTTCTAGGTAGCCTAATTAATTACCAACTCCGATATTTAAAGGTACCTTTAAAAAAAATCATTTTAATTTATACACATTTGTCCCCATTTTAAGGAAGTTTCCTAAAATCCTTTTTAGGCAACGACTCCTAATCATTAATTACTTTCGTGTAAAATTTCACCTTCATATTTTAGTAGTTTTCGAGATTTGTCAGTGAATAAATACTCAAGTGGTTTCGGTTCTATATACCCATTTAAAGATATATGCGTTAGCATCTAATAGTCAGTGAGATATATTTTGTTATTTTTTTAATACAAGGCGCAGAAAATTTCCCCTCCCCAGCCAGATATTTAAGTGTGAGTGGGGACTAGTGAAGTCTGAAGATAACTGATGCTATAGAAAAGTGTGCCGCTCCAGCCATACTCACCTTGCTGGCCTGAACCCAATCCCCGTCCCCGTGGAGCCCTAAAACCTTATTCACCAACAGAATCATCATCAGCCTAGTAATGTTCCCGCTGCTGGGGCACAGGCCTTTCCTATGAATGGAATAGGGAGATTAGACCATGACCCACCACGCGGGCCCAGTGCGGATTGGTGGGTGCTAACGATTGCAGATGCAGCCGGGACCAACGGCTTAACGTGCCTTCCGAAGCACGGAGGAGCTCGAGATAGTAAATTTATGGCCACCCATCCAATGACCGACCACTGCGAAAGTTGCTTAACTTCAACGACCGCAGCCGAACGCGCTAACCACTTGCGCCACGCTCCTCACCAACAGAAACACAACACCAAAAGGTAGGAAGTGTTATTTTACTGTGGTCTTCTGTACGAAAAAGGTTACTTTTCCAGACGGGCGCTCCAATTCCACCGAGGAATCCGCTATGCCCTATCTCTTTTAAAATAAATATAATATCGTTAATGATAGTTTTTATATACTTAAGTATTTACTTTTACCAGCTTCTATTTTACCTTTAAAAGACGTAGGGCATAGCGGATTCCCCGCTTGAATTGGAGCGCGCGTTATACTTGATGAATCACAAACCCCTTTCTAAGCAATGGGCAAAATTTAATTTGTGAGGCCCTTAGGTCGCGCTGAATCGCTGCCGTACTCAGAGACGCCAATTAACTTTTAATTTAAATTAAAGTTGATGCTCTCACTTTCTTTGTAGAAACAAAATTTCTTGGTAAAACAAAATAAGACAACACGCGACTTAATGAAGCATTACCTTTAATTGACGTCTTTGAGGCAGCCGTTAATGACATATAAAATATCACTGAATTATTCAGGAGTTATGATTCTTATAAATAAGTCGTTAAATAATCTACAGAACTCTTACTTCTTGAATAGCACGAACGATTACAACTGTTTCCGGATTTAATTATGTAGGTAATTGAAAAGAGGACATTCATTAAATAATTTACGAATTCTAAACAAAATGCAATATCATGAGCATACATTCATCACAACACAACCGAGCTATTGCTGTTCATTCATAAAAAGTCGAGAGCGAGAAAACGAGTGCATTTCAAAATCGCCTTAGAGCTGTTCAGGCGCCCGTGACCGTGTTTGTACCTTATTTTTAGCGAGTTTCAATATCGGAAACTCGCTAAAAACAAGGTACATGGTAACAATCCCGTAAATAACTTATATTACTATACACACACTCGAAAGAATTCAATCAAACCGTAACTAAATTAAAATTCTACCTAAAATACGCTTAAACATGGTGCATGGTGTACACCAAAAGCACCAGCTTCCCAATGAAAAGAAGATAAAATAGCTCTTTATTTAAAAAAAAAGTTATAAAATATAATGACCATGAAAGTTTAAAACAGTTCTTATCATATTCTATAGGGAGTGAAAAGGAGAGCCTGATGTCAAGTTTGCAAATATCAAAAACCATGTGAAGTGCCTACATCACTTAAATAACTATGGGTCTTTAATAATGAATTCTGTCTTTTACAGTTTAGCGTTAGCAACAGACAGTACAGTGACCATTGGCACTATAGATGAAATCCAGAAATTACACATTAGAACAGTACCCCTAGGCGAGACTCCGCGACGAATCGCTTACCAGGAGGCTACACAAGTATGTTTCTCTCTTTTTTTTTTAATTTTTCATGACCATGGATACAAGTCCTTCAGTCGTATACATAAATAAAATTTTTAATCTTCTTTTTTTTTACATTAAAATGTCGGTGTGACGCATTCTAATGTTTCTTGGAGTGTTTGGCACGAAATGTATCAAGTTGGTTTTTTCGATAAGCTTCTGTGAGGTAGTCAACACTACAATAAAGTTCTCACGTCCACTTGACCGGAATAGCGTATATTTTAAAGATTCCACTAATTATTCAGTTGCGCAGATAGTTGTAGCACAAAAGCACATCAATTTTATTTCACAATATCCACTATGAACAAATTTAAAAATAATTAAAATAAGACGCCAACTGCACTCGATGAAATCCCACCAAAAACTCGTACGTTTCTCTTTTCCTTAATGTTGCCACTTCATATGGCTATTTGTATTCTAATATATGTCACTTTTATTTAAAGTATCCATTTACATGGAATTTGCGAAGTTACATTTAACTGCATTAGTAATTGCAAGACTTTCGATTTTAAAATTAATACCTTTAAGATTGCTCCCTTGAATCAATTTTAAAATGAGATCACTAAGAAAGTGATATATACCTACATACGATGCGAAAGTGGAAGGATGTAGACTCCTTCTGCGATCACATTCTGAAGGAAAGAAAAATGTGTATTTCTGAAAGATGTGTAGATGGGTCCTGGCTTTGCCTTGTGGAACTCTGTTCTTTGTAAGTTTTTAAGGGTAAAAAGGAGACCCTATTTCTAAGACTACGTAGTCGGCTGTCTTTCTGTCAACAGGCAGTATCTCATAAATCGTGATAAAGTAAAATTTTCACAGATGATGTATTTCTGTTGCCGCTATAATGACAAAAACTAAAATCAATAAAATAATAAGTAGGGCTCCCATTCAACAAACGTATTTTTTTTGTCATTTTTGCTCTATTTTAATAACAGGAACAGGTATACGCTTGCAAATTTTGAAGTATAGAATGTTTAATTGTATAGGCTCTTTAAAAATAAGTAATAAAAATTAAATATTGAGGGGGGTTCCCATACAACAGACGTGATTTCATGCCGTTTTTTCTCGATATTTGGGTCTTTACCTATGAAATAGGCATTTTTCATTGAATAAGTTAACACCCTTTTAACTATATTATTTATTAATCAAAGTAATTTGTAAGAAACTGTGATGAATGACACCGGCGCAAGATCACCAAATAGTGACCATCACTTTTTTAGGGGTCAGTTTTCTTTTGGGGCATTGTTTAGGTGCCGAACCAGGATCTAACCAACTTGCTGAGCGCTTGCGCAAGTAACAATGCGATTCAATATTTTTGGGTGTTAGCATCTAAACACTTCATTCAGTAGATTGAGAATCATCAGCTTCCACAATAGCCTTTAATTAGTCATTATCGACTAAAGTTATCGTTCGACCACGAGGCTTTTTAGGTCAAAATTTCCTGAACGGAAGCGGGCAAACCAATAACAGATAGTGTGATCGAGTAGTATTTGCTCCGTTTAAGTTGCGTGCCGCTGCTGCCGCTTTGCTGCCACGACGGTACTCATACTCCACAATCACTCGATTTTTTAACGTATCCATAATGACGATTAACGTACAAATGCGACGAAAACAAAACGCTAACCATTAAGCAAATGACTAATTTTCAAAAATTAATTCCTAACTTGAAATAAGAATCTTGGCGAAAAAAAACATGGAATATGCTCCATAATGTTGACTAGATCATTATCTATACAACATTATGGAGCATATTCCATGTTTTTTTTCGCCAAGATTCTTAAATGGTACGGAACCCTTCTGGCTTCGTGAGTCCGACTCGTGCACGAATGGTTCCGATTGCCCTTTTTTAAGTTTACACCTTTCGGGTAACGTAGACTTTCGGCGTGATCACAATGCGGGTGGACAAACTGGAATGGACGGCCAGCACCGGCCCTTCCACAGTAGCGGTGCGAGCTTCCGCGTCCAGCGCCGCCGCCAGCACTAGCGGCGCGCCTCCACAGCAACCCAAGCACGCGCCCAACGCTCTGGACCTGGAACTGCACAACCTGCTGCTTCTAGACCACCATACCTTCGAGGGTGAGTGGGTATAGTGCGATAGAAACATTATTGTTGCTGACATGTAGGTTGGACGGCCAGTTCTCTAGCGACGCACCCCCGCAGCAACCTAAGCACGCACCCAACGCTCTGGACCTGGAATTCCACAACCTGCTGCTTCTAGGGCATCATACCTTCGAGGGTGAGTGGGTATAGTGCGATACAGTGGCTGACATGTAGAATTTACGGCTATTCTCTAGCGACGCGCCTCTGCAGCAATCCAAGCACGCGCCCAAAGTTCTGGACCTGGAACTACACAACCTGCTGCTTCTAGACCATCATACCTTCGACGGTGAGCTCCGCTAACCGGGCTGAAGATACAGATTTGAATCCTGCCTGGTACCTAGTAGATTTTTCTTTTGATTTATAACGAGAAAATTAAGTTCAGAATCCAGAAGTTTTGTAATACAGATTAATCAATCACTTTAAACAAAAAATGTGAAGTTTCTGTATTTTTCGTGTATATACGAGTATATTTTTTGGTTCGACGACATTTTTGTTATACTTTTATATAAATATGTCATTGATTGTTCACGCAACCTCTTATTAAAAACTTGTTGTTTTTATTTAAGCATTAAACTGCTACACTTTAGATAACTGAAGACGTTCGTTTTCCTTTTCACTACAGTTTTACACGCACACCAACTAATGGCGAACGAATTCGCAATGTCTCTGATCTCATGTAAACTCAGCGAGGACCCGAACCACTACTACGCTGTCGGCACCGCCATCGTCAACCCGGAGGAATCGGAACCCAAACAAGTGAGTCCATATTTTTATGTTAAACTAGCGGCAGACCGCGAGTTCGTCTGCGTTAACTTTTAGTTTTTATTTCTAAAATAAAAGTAGCCAAGTTACTGCTTATCACATCAGCTACCTGCCAATAAAAGTCCAGCCATTACAGAGAAATAGCCGGAACAAACAGACAGACAGACAAATTTGAAAAAAATGCTATTTTGGTTTATGTACCGTATATAGGGTGAAATTGAATGTTTTAATGAAACTTCGTGAGATTGTTGGGTTACATGTATAGAGTATGCCTGATTTTTTTCGGAATTTTTGAAGTATATTTTTTTCATGTATTTATTTATGATTTGTGTATTTTTATGTCCTTTCCTCCTTTTGAGTAGTTATTCATTTTAAACAAACAAACTTACATATCCAGTGAAAAATAACTAATAAATAAGCACTTCTTAAAAAATGGAAAAACATTAAAATTCCACCGCGGGTCAACGACCGACCGCGCCCGCCAGCCGTTGAGTGAGTAGGTACCTCTACACAGAGTTCAGCTGACTCCTTTGATTCCACACAATACAATAAAGTCGTCTTATGCCTTTATTGAAATAATAAGCACAAATGTCATCTTCTCTTAAGCAGAGAAAAACTTTAAAAGTTAATAATAATTTTGTCACGATTAGAAATAGGCAAATGTTAAACAAAAAGAAATACTTATTGCAGTTCAATACTTGGGTCAGAATAAAATTTATAACCAGGTATTCAAAAGTACTTACGAGACCGATGAACCTATTCATTTTTTTCACTTTAACTTCCCGTATACACTTTGTAAACACAATCAATCACTAAACCTACTTTCGTAAAGCCTTGTGGCTCTGCTGAGTATTCCGTGACACTACAATAACAACACACCATATCCAACTTCTTATATTGAGGCCACAGAACAAGAACTAATCAAGACATTATTTGCAAATCTTCTCTTGTCACAAATTTAAAAGATACGCACGCGCGGTTTATAAACTTGACACTGCGCTCGCTCACTGCGCTTTGCAGGTATTCAACGCATAGGTAGGTATTCAACCGATTCAACGGGTGGGAGCGGTCATTGCTCCCGGCCGCTCGTCTTCTGTTTTTACGTTTTTTTTAGTAGTGCTTATTAGTTGTTTTTTACTTACTCTGTATGCGTGTTTAAAAAGAATAATTATTTAGTACCCAAAAGGAGTAAAGGACTTAAAATATAACAAAAAAAAAACGAAATTTTATTATAAATCATTTTTAAAAAATCCGAAAAAAATCAGAGATACTCTATATACGTAACCCAACAATCCCACAAAGTTTCATTAAAACATTCAATTTCACCCTGTATATATTCATATGCATGTAGAACTCGAGCGAAACATCCGCTAGGCCTTTCCTTTCTATACCACTACGAGAATCTATGGAATATTCTTATATATAAAATTCTCGTGTCGCGTTGTTTGTGGTTAAACTCCTCAGAAACGGCTTTCCCGATTCTCAAGAAATTTTGTGTGCATATTGGGTAGGTCTGAGAATCGGACAACATCTATTTTTCATACCCCTAAATGTTAAGGGTAATCCACCCCTATTTTTTTTTCAATTTTAGATATATTTTTTTTTATTTTTTTATGATATATTATACACAAATACATACAACCCTAAATTTTCACCCTTCTACCACCAACCCCTATTTTTTTATGGCGATACAAAGTTCGCTGGGACAACTAGTAATATTATAAACTTCTTAAGTGCAGCGTTACCTACCCTGACCCAATACGCTAGACCCTGAAGCCCTGGAACCTTAATCACTGACAAAAACACAACAATACCAAAAGGTAGTTTATTTTACTGTGGTCTTCTATAAGGTGGAGGTTACTTCCCCAGACGGGCGCTTCAATTCGAGCGAAACGGCTATGCCTTCCTCTCTACGAGAATCTATAGAATAATATTATAACTACTAAGTGCAGCGTTGCCTACCCTGACCCAATACCTTAGACCCTGAAGCCCTGGAACCTTACTCACTGACAGAAACACAATACTACCAAAAGGTAGTGTTATTTTACTGTGGTCTTCTGTAAGGTGGAGGTTACTTCCCCAGACGGGCGCTCCAATTCGAGCGAAACATCCGCTAGGCCTTTCCCCTCTATACCACTATGAGAATCTATAGAATAATATTATGACTTCTAAAGTAATTTGAACTTTAGTTGAATAGTGTTAAGATTTAAAATGACTAGGGAAATTATATTATACTTTATGATATTGTCAATACGAGATAAGTTAAAAATTAAAACACACCATATAAAAGATTTTTTTATTTATTTAGTTGTCTTTTTGATATAACAACTAAATATATATTTGTTTCTTAGGTTTTCACGCATATGCACTGAATTTATTTATTTATTGACGTTTCGCACCCTTTTCGTGTGGGTGCGAAACCGTAAAAACTGTTTTATTTAACTAAAGATATACTAAAATAAAAGTTCTTGCAGAGTTCGTATATATAAATCGGATTCTGGATCCATAAACGCAAGTATATGTAACGACTGCAATCCTACTCCTTTCAGGGCAGAATATTATTATTCCATTGGACTGAAGGCAAACTGATACAGATAGCAGAGAAAGAAATCAAAGGAGCGTGTTATTCACTCGTAGAATTCAATGGAAAGTTATTAGCATCTATCAACAGTACGGTAAGTTTATGTCACACTATTTTGCGTCTTACGGCCTAAAGAATAACGTAGTTTGGCCGTGCACATTGTAAGGCTTAAGACTTAGTGTAGTATAAATTTTGTTACAGGTACGATTATTCGAATGGACGTCAGATAAGGAACTGCGGTTAGAATGTAGCCACTTCAACAATATTGTAGCTTTATATTTGAAGGTGAAGGGTGATTTCATTCTAGTCGGAGATATTATGAGATCAATGTCTCTATTGCAATATAAACAGGTAAGATATAATGAAAGTTATTTTAATAACTTCTGATTCCAAAAAGCCAGAGCTCTTTTGTAATGTAAGTTTTTCAACATAGTGAAGCTGGAATATATTTACATTTTTTGTAGATGGAGGGTAGTTTCGAAGAAATAGCCCGTGATCACAGTCCAAATTGGATGACGTCAGTTGAAATCTTAGATGATGACACATTCCTTGGTGCCGAGAACAACTTTAACCTTTTTATTTGCCAAAAAGATGGGTATGTTCATTATTATATATACACTGGTCATCAAAAAAATCGACCCACCCCGCTTTTGCACTATTGCTCTTGATAATTTCAAAGATAAGCGTTTAGAAGTACGTTTTGTTAATGTCTAGGGTCGGATTAAATGTTTGACATTTGATTCCCATAAATCTTAACGCACATGAGGGTACTTAATAAAAATTTTAAAGTAAACACTGCTCAGTGCCGTTTTAATGAATGCGTCCGTATTCACTTTGGCCCTGTTTAATTCCCAACCAGGTGTTTATAACAGTGTAATTGTTATTGACGATTCTTACTTTATTGATTATCACTGTAATTCGTATTAAATTAGCCTGGAATTATGGATACTACTGAAGCGGAATCGGCCCAAGTTGTGGCTTTGCTGCGAGAGGGTTTCAGTCAACGTGTTGTCGCTCGAAGATTACATCTCAGTCGATCTGCGGTTCGGAGAGTTTACCAGAGGTTTCAAGAGACTGGGCAGTACCGTAGAAGAACAGGATCTGGAAGACAAAGGGTCACCACTCAAAGACATGACCGATTTATTGTGACATCGGCTCTAAGAAATCGGCACCTTTGCGGGGTGTGGCTATAAGTGACAGTACGGTGAGAAGAAGACTTCGTGAACAGAACTTAAGACCTCACAAACCGGCAACAGGACCACAACTGACCGTAGCTCATCGTCAAGCCAGACTTCAATTTGCGAGGGAACATCTTGAATGGACTATAGACCAATGGGCTTTAGTTCTATTCTGTGATGAGAGTCGAATGACTTTATACGGCTCTGATGGGCGCCGTAATGTCATGAGAAGGCCAGGTGAACGTTACGCTCAGTCCTGTATAAGAGAAACTGTCAGTAATGGTGGAGGCTCTATAATGTTTTGGGGCGGGATATCTTTGACAGCACGTACAGAGCTGGAGTTTATCAGAAGGGGTTCTCTTACTGCTCCACGTTACATAACGGAGATCCTAGAAGATCATGTCGTGCCGTATACAGGCTACATCGTAGCGCGCATTGTTACTCAGTACTTGGAAGAGGTCGGCATTCGGGTTATGCAGTGGCCAGTAAGAAGTCCGGATTTAAATCCTATAGAACACATGTGGGACACGCTAAAACAGAAGGTTAGAGCTCGAGAACCCGCCCCTACAACCTTAGAAGCGTTGGAAACCGCCATAAGGGAAGAATGGGACCGAATTCCTCAAGGAACCATCGCCGTTTTAATAAGATCAATGAAACGGCGAATGCAGACAGTGATTAGAGCAAGAGGGGGGAACACCGAATATTAATATAGAAGTTTTGTTCCAATAACGTATAAGACTAAAAAGTTACAAAGTGTTCAACACGAACATTAAAATAGGGTTAAAATGGCGATTTATTTCTTAATTTTGTTAAAATGTTAAATTTTGATCTTTAAGATCAATAATTTTGTGACTAATTAAAAAAAATGACGTTGTTTAGTGAACAATTACAATTATAATACAATTTGTTTCATTCAAAATATTAAAACATGAGTTTTTCTGTTAAATGTAGGTGGGCCGATTTTTGTGATGACCAGTGTATAATTATTCTTAAAAATTTTAAACCATTTCCCAGGGATTAGATAATAGGATCTCTATACGAAGCAGTTTTCTATGGAAACTTTGGGCACTGTACCCCAAACACGAACTTTGTCAGATCCATATTCGTATCGTAATCGTCAAAAGTTTCTACGGAAACTAAGCAACGCCACCACCAAAAACTACCGGGCGGAAGAACAAACTAGCTTCTTCCATAGAATCTTTGACGATGATAATACCAGCACTTTCTCGCTAGTTGTCCGTGCTTGGGGTACTGGTGTTTCCAAGATAATTCACATAGATCCGAGAAGCTTCTCGCCGCATCTTTATAGGCGATCACAACCCTATTTTATGTGCAGCCGTCGCCAAATTCAGCTGGCAGTCAAATTCAGCCGTTGGCTGGAAACCGCTCTTATATATGAAGCCTTAAGAATTTATAAAAAACCGAGTGGCTGCACGAGTTTTCGTCCGCGTAATTTTTAGTTTTTGAAAATTCCACAAACCTTACATTTTTTCGGGATAATAAGTATGTCTCAAACCAGGTTTTAAACTATATGCGTACCAAATTTAAAGCGATTCCGTTCTGTAGTTTTTGTGTGATTCTGTAACTAATATACAAACTTTCACATATAATATTAAATAGGATTATTATGATTTTCATTTTACCTTGATATATTTCAAAACAGCGCCGCAACAACAGACGAGGACAGACAGCAACTAGACAACATGGGCCGTTTCCACGTCGGCGACATGGTGAATGTCATGAGACACGGGTCCCTGGTGTCGCAGCACGCAGACACCGCCGCGCCCGTCTCCAGCCCCGTGCTGGTGGCCACCGTCACCGGCGCCATATGTATGTAACTATACCGCGTGTACAGAACAATAGGACAGACAGATAGACAGACGACAGGACAACATGGTGAATGTCATGAGAGAGGTCCCTGGTGTCGCAGCACGCAGATACCGCCGCGCCCGTCTCCAGCCCCGTGTTGGTGGCCACCGTCACCGGCGCCATATGTATGTAACTATACCGCGTGTACAGAAAAATAGGACAGACAGATAGACAGACGGCAGGACAACATGGTGAATGTCATGAAAGAGGTCCCTGGTGTCGCAGCACGCAGATACCGCCGCGCCCGTCTCCAGCCCCGTGCTGGCGGCCACCGTCACCGGGGCCATTAGTATGTAACTATACCGCGTGTACAGAACAATAGGACAGACAGATAGACAGACGGCAGGACAACATGGTGAATGTCATGAGACATGGGTCCCTGGTGTCGCAACACGCAGACACCGCCGCGCCCGTCTCCAGCCTCGTGATGGTGGCCACCTTCACCAGCGTCATATGTATGTAACTATACCGCGTGTACAGAACAATTGGACAGACAGATGGCAGGACAACATGGTGAATGTCATGAGACACGGGTCCCTGGTGTCGCAACACGCAGTCACCGGCGCCATATGTATGTAACTGTACCGCGTGTACAGAATAATAAGGACATGCAGACCTATTGTCCATATCTATGTAACTATACCGTGTAAAATATTAACAACAGTAAAATATTCTCTTAACCGAGTTCAAGCCACAAGCTTCATCTTGCTTGACATAATATTCTCAATTGACTGTGCTATAAATAGGCAAAATAATAGTGGCTAAACAAGAATGGAAGACATGGCCACAATCCCCAAAACTTTGGTAACTTTACGAATCGAAACAAATACTTCACATTTTGAAAAACAAAAAATATCCGTTTCTTTTCACAGGCTTAGTAGTCCAATTACCGCAAGACCTCTATGAGCTGCTGCACGTTCTAGAAGAAAGACTAACCCACACCATAAAGTCGGTGGGCAAGATTCCCCACTCCTTCTGGAGGTCATTGAACTCTGACATCACTTCTGAAGTAGCCGAGGGATTCATTGATGGTGACCTTATTGAAAGCTTTCTTGACCTCAATAGGGATATACAAAAAGAAACTGTCCAAGGAATACAGGTGAGGGTTACCCGTTTCTACTTTTCCAGGTTTCTTTCTACTGATGTTCTTTCTTACTATTGACTTCTTGTTGGTCGCTCCCACCTTCCCCGCGCTCTTACACCTCGTTTGCACCAAAGTATAATACATGTGTTTAACAAATTTTATACAATATCTGAATTTTTGTTGCACACTTATTTATATACATGTATAAAACATCTAGTATACAAACTTGCATCAAAGTTGTTGGATGAAGTAAATAAGTGATTTATACTTTTAAGATACTAGTTGTGTACGCAGTATCAATGAAAGAATGTTTTAAACAGCCACAAGTATTGTACAAGTTTTGTTTAAAACTAGTATATGACTTGTTTTTTGCCTATTGTGTACGTTTTCACTGTCATGTTTAATGTCTTGTATGTCCTGTGAGGTGTATGTCAATAAAGAATATTATTATTATTATTATTATTGTTTTTTGGTGAAAATGAGGGGTTAGACAGACCCTATTAGTCAACCCTAATGGTCCACGGTACCAGTTGATGTGCCTGTGACACATTTTGTAATGGTCATTGACGGCCAATTTAAAGCGAACTGGTAGTACCAATATACACCGTGAATTTTCAATTATCAGATAACTTAAAAACCGAGTAACACCCCCATATTTAGGTGTATCAAATATTTCACTTAGTCTGATACAGTCTTATCTTTCTGCAAGGATTCAGAAAGTAGTTATAAATCAAGCTGAGTCTACAGGAGCACCCATTTCTATGGGCGTGCCCCAGGGTTCAATATTGGGCCCATTGCTTTTCCTTATTTATATTAATGACCTTCCTCACTCTACAAGAGATTTGTGTGAGACAGTACTATTTGCTGATGACACCTCTTTAGTGTTTAAAGCTAGGAGAGGAAATGATTGCTATGACGAAGTAAATTGTGCTCTCTCTGAAGTCCTTCACTGGTTTACGGTAAATAATTTAAAACTAAACTCTAGTAAAACAAAATGTGTTAAGTTTACTTTACCTAATGTGAGGCAGTTTAATACTGGTTTAAAAATAAATGACCAGCCTGTAGAGTTAGTGGATTCTACAAAGTTTCTGGGTATTACTTTAGACTCGCATCTGCAATGGGATCCTCATATTGATGCCTTATCAAGTAGACTGAGCTCTACGGCTTTTGCTGTTAAAAAAATAAGACTTCTAACTGATGTGGAAACGGCAAGATTGGTTTACTTTGGTTACTTTCATAGCGTTATGTCATATGGCCTTTTGTTGTGGGGCTCAGCTGCTAATATAGAAAGTATTTTCGTACTGCAAAAGAGAGCTGTTCGCGCCATATATAATTTAAAGGCAAGAGAATCTCTTAGAGAAAAATTTAAAGAAATTAATATTTTAACACTGGCATCGCAATACATTTATGAAAATTTAGTATATGTAAGAAAAAACTATGACGCATTTGCAAAAAAAGTCAAACCCATAACTTTAACACGAGATTTAAGAACAAGCTTGCCGTTCCATGTTTCAGACTCCAAAAATCAAGAGGTTCATTTCTGGGATGTAGTATTGCATTGTTTAACAAAATTCCCCAAGATCTGATTGAGCTTCCACTAACCAAATTTAAATCTCAGATTAAGAATACTCTTATGAATAAGGGCTATTATAAAGTTAATGATTATCTAAATGATCGTAATGCATGGACATAGTGTTTCTTGTAATTTGTTATTTGATGGGTATGAGTCAGTTTTTGTAACAGTAATATAGTACCTATCTAATGCCGCTTCCTATATACTAAATATAAAATTTATTGTAACTATATATCTATATCCTAAATAATGTAATGGAAGGTGACTTCAGAAGTATCTCTAGTCATTTTTCAACTTGACGACTCTGTATATATCAATACAGGGAGAAAAAAGCAGCCCTTGCTGAGTTTCTTGCCGGTTCTTCTCAGTACAAGGTCTCCCGCCGTAGTTTTGCGAACCGATGGCGTAGCTTCTTGACCTTCACAAGTGCTTGTAACAGCCTAGACTGAATAAATGACTTTTCATTTCATTTCATAAAAAAAGATTTATATTGGTTACAAAATATCCTAAAACTGTGCATATTTGTAAATAACATACCTATTAGGGAATTATTATCCATTTACCGTATGTAGATTCTAAACGTAGGGTTATTTGAATCAATTTATAACAATTAAAATTCTTAAGATTTCATAACAAAATTAGTGAGTTAACATGTAGACATTTTTTGCAGAAATTTAACCTAAATCGTTTTCTTAAATAACTACTAAAGTTTCTCAGGCAACTCAAAATTCACGGTGTATAAGCTTATCGGAGTTTAGTTACCTCATAAAGGGATTCACGCAATATATAAAAATAATACAGCAATACCTGGCACTATCACACAGATAAATACGTCTAAATAAGTTACATTTCATCAAGAATTTTTTTAGGGTCGAAAAGGTTAAGAAATTGTCGCATTGTAGCCATCTCATTGCCTGAAACTGTTTTTATAACTAACTGTAGTTCTCTGTGTCTATTTTAACTACCTGTTAAATCAGTTCTTGTCATTGATATGTATATTGACGTCCTCCATGGCCGAGGGGTATATGCGCCGGTTTTCAGGGTTGGAATCCCGGTGGGGGGCAATGTTTGTGTGACGAATACGAGCATTTGTACTCCAGTTATGAATGTTTAATATGTATTTCTATATAAATAAATAATATTAGTGTGTCCATTCGGGCATGATTCTCTAAATCTAAAATTAAATTTGACAAAAGTGCATCATCATGTGAGAAACTGATGTTAAATTTAGTTTTAAGTTTACAGAATCAGGTCAGAATCAACACCATTATATATGTATTCTATCCATTACCCTAGTGTCCCATAACACGAGCCTACAGTGCTTACTTTGGGGCTAGCCTAATTGGTGCGAGTGTTGGAAATATTTATTTTTTATTTCCAGATCGACGAAGGCAGTGGGATGAAACGTGACGCAACCGTAGATGACCTTATAAAAATAGTAGAAGATCTAACCCGGATACATTGATAAGCAGGAACAAGTGCTAGTGATATAATAAGCATAATGGAGAATTCTTATTAAACAGTTTATGTACTTCATTTTTTTATTTTATTCAATGGTACCTCTTTAATAAAACTAGTTTTTTACGGGTTAATGCACGAAACTTCATTTATTTATTGACGTTTCGTAGCCTTTACAGGCTGCGTCGTCGGAATCAAATTTTTATTTAATTTGTCGAGCTACCTTCGAAAGACTTTACATTAAAAATAAGATTTAACATAAGAAGGAGATAGAAAGCCTCTCTTGTGTTTGTTTCGCCGGTTCTTCTCAGAAAGGTATCCCAATTTTGGAACCGGTGGTATTTTACGGTAGTTAGAGTCAAATAAATAAACTCAAAATTACAAAAAGAATTTTAAATAAAATACTTTACTAACTAATTTAAGTAATAAATTCACACATAGACAATAAAACTATAAAAATATGAAATAACCGAACGCTCAATAAAAGTCTTTCGAAGGTAGCTCGACAAATTAATTAAAAATTTGATTCCGACGACGTAGCCTGTAAAGGCTACGAAACGTCAATAAATAAATAAAGTTTCGTGCATTAACCCGTAAAAAACTAGTTTTATTTAATGAGTGATGTGCGTGAAAACCTAAGAAAAAAATATGGTACCTCTTTGTTGAATTTTACATTCATATGAAACCCCTCATGGGATTGCTGTAATTTTTATATGGTAAGCTCTTACTGTGTTCAATTTGATTCATCACATCACATTCAGATGACCGGTTAAGAAGTGTATAGTGAGTACACTGATAATTCAAAATACATTTATAATAAATAACTATTTTAATCTTTTATGATTAAATCACAGTTAAGCATTAATCACATTTTTTTCATAAAAATCACAATTTTATTTATGCAACAATGTCTAGGGAAGATGCACTATTTTTGTTTTCATTTTAAAGAATTCCATGTAGAATAAACCACAGATATATTAAAAAATTAAAACAATGTAATTTATCTGAAAAAATGCGGTTTTAAAATAGTTTAAATTTTCGCGCGAAAACGGACCTATGGTTCCGATGACATCACTCCTGTCTGTCACTGGTCGTACTTGTTCGTCGCTGGCTTTCAATTTTCATACTTTTGCATATTTTTTCGACTTCCGAGATATTTTTTTGTAAAAATTTAAAATGTTAGGTGATCATAACAATACCACTAATATTCCGAAAAAAAACCGTGTTGACTCATGTTTTGTGCCAATGTGTCCATCTACTTCAAAAAAATTTCCAAATAAATTGTGTTTGACTTTTGATTGAATTAAATTAATTGACCCAAAACTGAGAAAAAAGTGGTTTCAAGCTGCAGCAAAGAGAAGTGACAATTATTCTCCAAAGACCATTATTCGATGCTGTGAAGATCATTTTGACGTAAGTCGGCGAATATACTTGTTATATGTATATTCGCCAATGTATATTAATCTCCTTGTACGTAAAAACGCGTTAGTAACCTACCTAATACTTACAAGACCTGTCTATAACATATTTTTAATTTTACAGTTGGAGAATGACGTCGAAAATAGGATAAAGTTTAAAATGTGTGGCACACTCTACACATTGGCAGGACTGAACCAAGCTTTGCGTTTCATTTAAAATAACTGTAACACGATAACCTTCTTTACGTACTTTATGCTCCGGAGTAACTCGACTTTTTACTGTACACAATTCTCCATCTCTTTTAATTTGGATATAGCCGATTGCGTTATCACCGTAAGATTCTCTTGTTGAGCTGAAATAACTGCTATGTGTAGAAGCCGCTGAATAAAATACAAAGTTTAACAACTATGATTTATACGTACCGTATAATTTAGTCCCTTTCATTTCTACACTTGAAAACTCTGCACTTTGGAAAAAAAAAGTTACAACTAATACAGTTACAAAATAATATTCACTTTTACAAACATAACCTCAAATAAGTTGTCATAACAGGAGTGACGTCACTATAAGCTATTTTAAAATACGTTTTTTTCAAGTAATTTTTAACATTTTAATCATAAAATTTTCATAAATATTATATTTACATCTTCCCTATTTCAAAAATATTTTATGGAATAATAAATTCATATTGCACATCTTCAAAAGCCTAGGAATATTTATCATTTTGTGACACTTAGTAAAATATTATGCCTTTTTATACAATTTAACTGAAAGATATACTAACATAAATTAAATCTTGTGATGAAAGTATTGCCTAGGAATATTTATCATTTTGTGACACTTAGTAAAATATTATGCCTTTTTATATAATTTAACTGAAAGATATACTAACATAAATTAAATCTTGTGATGAAAGTATTCAAATTATTTTTTATTATTCAGGTTTCCTACACTCTCCGCATGTCCGTTCAAAGCTCCTGTGCAGCAAAATTATATTATTAATATTTGCAAATGTGAAAGCACTTATATAGTTTCTTCCTATATTCTATCCTTTTCTAAAGCTGCTTATTACCAATACACTTTTACCCACTTACTAATAAATGTACAATAAACTTGAACTAGTTATGAAGTGTTTTATCTCATTTAAATATTTTCTTTGCAATTGTAAAATAAGATATACACTATTAATTTTGAATTACTTGAGAAACTCAAAAATCATGTAAATAAAAAGAGTGTGAACAGTTATAAACTGAAGGTACTACACTTGTATACAAAAATAATTATTTATATTGTTTACAATGTTGCGGCCCTAACGCCTTGCAAAATATAAACAAGCAATGACATAAACAATTCACCTCTGGCAACCCTGTTGGAAAAGTCGTTTTTATAATATGTGCTTAAAAAAAACCCTTTTTTACCAAATACGTACATCAATACAAGAGTTTTTAACTATATTTTATTTTTCTACAAAACCATTATTTAATTTAATGGCACCGTTATGTCCTACTAGACAACAAAATATCCGAAAACAAAGCAAATTTTGGAATGATTATCTGTTAAAGATCCTAAAAATTGTTTTGTTTGAATCAATATATAACAATAAAAATTATAAAACTCATAATTAAACATTCAAAACAAAATTAAAAAAAAAAATTATCCGTATTAGCTAGTAAAATTTCTCAAGTAACTCAAAAACATAGAAATTTGTTTGTCATTAAGGGTTTAAGTTTTAAAATATGATAGGAAAGTTTTTAAGACACTGCAAATTGGAAATGTAATGTAAAGAAGCAAAATATCTACTGTGAAATAACATGATAATAATATCAATGTGGTTGCCATCCTACTTTCTGTACTTGTCAGCTTTGTTGTGCAAGAACCACATAAGTGAAAATAAACAGCTAGGAGGACTTGCTAGTGGCCCTTCAGAGTTTAACATCTTTTCTATTTGAGGTATTGTCATCTCAACAACTTCTATTATTTCATCATCTACACCTCCACCTGAAATTCAGTTCCATAAAAATAAATTATTAAAATTTAACATAACATAATTCTATTTTCTTGAATAAGATATAGGTAGTGTTAAAGTTTTTCAAGTAAATAAATTATAGACAAAATTTTGTTCATTTTCATAAGTAAAATTAAAAGTTGTGAAGCAAAAAGAACCCAGTGGGCATTTAAGAAGCAAGAGAAAATGTCTTTTAAGAACCAATGTTAAAGTTTGATTTTGTTTGATCCCAAAAATTACCAATGGTGGCTTTCATCTTTTATTATCATACTTTAACATTGGTCCACTGAATTAATTTTGTCACTTTAACCCTGTCAATTGTGCATTATAATTTATTGTGCATGCTTGGTTGTCCATGGTTTTCTCTCAAAATGTTTAGGGTTTTACCTTGTTCTGTTTTCATGTCATCGGTGACTTCACAGTAATATAAGGTTTGAAGAGAGCCCTGGACACCTACACCTGACCTGAAAATTAAAGGAAACATGTTTTAAAGGAATTCTTAAAATAAGTAATGCCAACTATTCAACTACTGAACATTACAACTTATGTAAAGATATTACATCTAAATGAATTGTCTACTTGATGGCAAGTTGGTGTTGATATTAATGTAACATGAAATCTATAAAATTAAAAACCTAAAATATTACCGACACAAAAAAATGTGGAAAAAAACAAACATACCAACAATTAAAAAAGGGCACTGGAGGCATAAGTTGAAAGTGGGTTTCAGGTTCGAATTGTCTGAAGTAAATATTAAGTTTATGTAGGGCATTGATCACTAACCAGTATTGGATGATAATATTATTCATACCTGTATGACATAATTTTTTGCAAGTTCTCAACTTCTACATTATAGCCACATTCCTCTAAAACTTCTTCCTTAGCTATTTCAATGGTTGGTTTGTCTTTATCTATGATACCAGCACACATCTCAAGAGCGATCCCTAGAGAAGCTGGATATTTTTTTGTATCTATAAAATCATTACGGTCCTCCGGGTGAACGGAATTATAATAGATAGCTGAAAAAACCCCTTTATTTAAGTATCAAACCAAGTTATTACAGAAAATAAATATTAATATATAAAAATAAAAACCTACCAGGGCGGAACTGTTTTACAAATATCATAACCTTTCGGGTCACATTAAAAACAATAATTGCTACACTATTGTGTACTTCCAACAAATCCCAGGATTTTTGTTTACCATTCTGCGTGTAATTCAGCCTAAAAGGTTTTACATAAGGTGAATCAGGAAGAGGACTGACATATACTTGCTCCAGATCTTCCATTTTCTAGATTAAAATTGGTTAATAAATCACTGCTTTAAAAAGTAATAAAATTTATGTGTGCTTACAACGTTGGCGGACAGAACAATTTCAATTTATTTTATGTAGGTATTCCTTAATTCAAACCAATGGTATAGTGCACTTGCGGGATTTACACTACCCGAATTTAAGGGACGCTTACGGCTTACCCTGCCTACAGCCAGCCCTATGCATATTAACGTGTCGTGGCGCGCCAGTTTCACACATTTATTATGGGTTAGAGAGAGAAGTTAGAGCGTCGACACGACACGAAACGTATATATGTTTCTAACCATAATAGTAAATGTATAAAAGCGATCTGCGTTAGGGCTGAAGGGTGGGGTAATGTGAGTTACGGAGTAACGAACCCCATCTAGGGCTTAGAGCATATACCACGTGGTATATGCTCTAACATCTAGGGCGATCGGCGGGGTGTAAAATTGCTACCACCCTAGCCACCACCCTTTCGATCGGGACCTTAAAATTGGTTAGTGTGAATCCCGTTTAAGGGACCCGATCTAGGGCGGTCGGCGCGGTGAGATAATTGCTTACCATAACTAGGCACCGCGCCGCGCCGACCAAAGAGAACAAAAATCCGAAGGAAGATTAGTGCAAATGCGAAACTCTATTAACGTTGGTGTCTCGTGTTTGAACGACTGTCACTTTGAAACTTGGACAATTATTTTTGCGCCGACCCTCTCCATTGGGCTCTTAAAATTGGGTAATGTAAATCCCATTACAGACCCAAGCAAAAAATTTTGACAAGCTCCATAATCGTATGGTCATTGTCAAATTTTAGTTGGAAGAAGCCAGTTTGTTCTTACGTCTGGTAGGGGATCTGCTTATAATAAGTTTTCATAAAATATGATATATGGGTGCGTTTAGCCGACAAAAAGGCTAAACAGCATTCGAGAACGCTTGACAGTATTAGACTATGTTAACTTGCATTATCGGCGGAAACTATACTTTAGTTGATTCAACTAAAGTTAGCGATGAGTGCTAAATTTTTTATAAGAATAATTAACAATTTAAACAATTAAATTAATATTATTTTGTAATTTTATATTCTTTTTTTCCCAGTGCTATTTAGCAATCGCCATTTTTCTTTTTATACTGTTTAGCCTTTTTGTCGGCTAAACGCACCCAATGTTTAATTAAGTTGCGATGCGATTACGGATCTGTCAAAATTCGTGCATAAGCTTGTGCTTCAGTACCCTTAGCTCGAACCAATATCGAATTCGTAACGTTTCCGAGTCCGAAATGATGCCCTACTAGTGCAACTTTTTATCCATTTAGGTTACAGAGAAAGAGAATGATCGCTGTAGCAAATAGTGTCGCAGAAATATGGACAAAACAAGTGAAGCGCTGCGATCGCTAAGTTGTCTCAATATAAGCGGGCTGTTGTGCGGTAATTTGAAATTTTCAGGAACAGGGGGCTTATGCTTTAGCACGTAGCGATCTTTCTCCTTCTCTCTAACCTTCGTGTTTTTATCCTTAAGCCAATTGACGTACAAAACCATAGTGATAGCTGGTTGTCGCAACTTGGTCGTTCCCATAGCCATAAGAGGCAGGTTACACGATCAGTTTGGCATCAGTTCAGTCCGTCAGTCCAGACTGATAGCACACTGATGGACTGATTACACGGTCAGTCCATACTGCTGACAGTCTTCCCAAGAACTTAGTCGCATGTGAACGTATTACGCGAAAAGCCATTGATCAATCTCAACTACACACAACATAATAAATGTGTTTGCCGCGCCGACATTATATTTGTTTTGTGCCGTTTGGATTATGAATTTAATTTCTGAAGTCTAATTTTAATTTGTTAATTTATGTGTATGACTGATATATCAGTCTGTTTTTTATTTTAATTATTTTAAATACGAAACAAATCTGTGATTATGAGAATTACGAATTTTATCATTAGGATCAAATACTAAATGTAATATATAAAATTCTCGTGTTACGGTGTGCGTAATTGACCTACTCCGAAACGGCTCGACCGATTTTCATGAAATTTTATATGCATATTCAGTAGGTATGAGAATCGGACATCTATTTCTCATCCCCTTAAATGTTAAGGGTGGTCCACCCGTAATTTTTTTTTGCAACATAATCTCTAAATAATATATGCATAATAAGCAAGGGAGAGATGACTTGTTAGGTTAAGGCTTATGGGAAAAACGGTAGTGGAGAGTGCACAAACCCCACAAAAGCTTTTTTTTGGATAAAAAAGGTCTTCTTCAAAAAAAAATGTGGCGCTTCGCCGCCGCCGCCACAGCAAACAAACTTAAGACTTCGCTCTGTGTTACACTTTATAGTTTGTCTAAGCGACAGCGTGCTAAGTCATATTAGACCACGCGGTATTCAGCAAACAAGCAAGTAAGAACGGCCAAACCTTTTGGTGTTGTGTTTCTGTTGGTGAGGAGCGTGGCGCAAGTGGCTAGCGCGTTCGGCTGCGGTCGTTGAAGTTAAGCAACTTTCGCAGTGGTCGGTCATTGGATGGGTGGCCATAAATTTACTATCTCGAGCTCCTCCGTGCTTCGGAAGGCACGTTAAGCCGTTGGTCCCGGCTGCATCTGCAATCGTTAGCACCCACCAATCCGCACTGGGCCCGCGTGGTGGGTCATGGCCAAATCTCCCTATTCCATCCATAGGGAAGGCCTGTGCCCCAGCAGTGGGGACATTAATAGGCTGATGATGATGATGATGATAGGGTAAACTCCCTAATTGTTGGCACTTTAAGAGTAGGTAGCATGTCAGACATTAAATTACCATAAAATCACATCTAAATGAGTTAGTACTCAACACATGTAACAGTGTCAAAGAAAGTAGTTAAATCTTTGTTTTCATAATGGTACAGTCAATGAAGGCAAAAATCAGCTACAACCTCCGATTTCGTTGAACCTCCATGGATTTTCATGAAAATTGGTAAGTAGGTGGGGGATACCATAAGAAACAAAAGTGATATAGTGCCAACTTGCGCTTTTGCCCTGAGGGTTGATACCACCGCATCTCGGGGCTGAAAATTATTTGAATAGCAAAAACTCCAGGAATCGATAGAAAGACAAATTCTAAGCAAAATTTGTTATATTAAGTTTTCGGAATAAATCAATACCTTCTGAGTTATTAAAGATCAAAGAATGTGATTTTGCGTGATAAAAATACATGTTTTAAGCGGTTTTTTCATAAATAACTCAAAAACTATGAGTTTTACAAAAAAAATATTAGTACCAAAATTGAAGCTAATAAAAAAACAAACAAACGCCTACATTGAAAAACTTTCTCATTTTAATTCAAAGTGAGCTATAGGTAATTGTATGTACATTTTTTTTCGGCAAGTATTTAAATCTAAGTATTCAAACCTAAATAACGGGAAACCGATGAATTTTATGACATACACTTTCGGAACACTTTTTAAAGTCCTCGGAAATACCTTTATAATGAGCACTGTAAAAAGTTAATAGCTGCAAAATTGAAAAAGTTATGATAAAAATAAGGTAACCCTTAAATTTTTTGGAAAAAACGAAAAATAAATCCTTCATCATTCATCAAAATGCATCGGTTTCCCGTTATTTAGGGTTGAATACTTAGATTTAAGTACTCGTCGAAAAAAAATACATACAAATTACCTACTGCTCACTTTGAATTCATATTAGAAAGTTTTTCAAAGTAGGGGTTTTTTTATGAGCTTCAATTTTGGTAATAATATATTTTTCTTTAAACTCATAGTTTTTGAGTTATTTATGGAAAACCGCTTAAAACATGTATTTTTATGACGCAAAATCACAATTTTGATCATTATTAACTCAGAAGGTATTGATTTATTCCGAAAACTCAATATAACAAATTTTGCTTAGAATTTGTCTTTCTATCGATTCCTGGAGTTATTTTTATTAAAATATTTTTTACCGCCGAGAAGGGGTGGTATCTACCCCCAGGGCAAAAGCGCAAGTTGGCACTTTGTCACTTTTGTTACCTATGGTATCCACCTAGTCACCAATTTTCATGAAAATCGATGGAGGTTCAACGAAATCGGAGGTTGAAGCTGATTTTTGCTTTCATTGACTGTACTATTATGAAAACAAAGATTGAACTATTTTTCTTTGATACTGTTACATGTGTTGTGTACTAACTCATTTAGATGTTATTTTATGGCAATTTAATGTCTGACTGACATGGAACCTGCTCTTAAAGTGCCAATAATTAGGGAGTTAACCCTATAGTGTAATGATTTGTCTTATAACAATTATTTTTATATAAATGATTAAATTGGAACGATATATCCCACGGTTGTACTGATACAATCGTAATTGTTTAAAATTATTGTTGATTTATTTATTGTCTTTAGTACGATTTATTTGGGGGGCTATCTGAAAAACGGTTTTTTTTTGTCTGACTGCTTCAAATATGAGTTTTTTCAAATAATACTTTGGAATAATGTTAGGAACAACTAGAACAACTTAGAACAACTATAAAAATAATGAATTTCCAAACATGGGGGGCTATCTGAAAAATGATTTTTTTTGTCTGACAGATTCAAATTTGAATTTTATCAAATAAAACTTTGGAACAATGTTAGGAACAACTAGAACAACTTGGAACAACTAAAAAAATAATGAATTTCCAAACATGGGGGGGCTACCATAAAATGGTTTTTTTTTTGTCTAGCAGCTTCAAATTTTAGTTTTTTCAAATAATACTTTGGAACAATGTTAGGAACAACTAGAACAACTAAAAAAAATATTGAATTTCCAAACATGGGGAGCTACCATAAAAAAGTTTTTTTTGTCTGGCAGCTTCAAATTTGAGTTTTTTCAAATAATACTTTGGAACAATGTTAGGAACAACTTGGAACAACTAAAAAAATATTGAATTTCCAAACATAGGGGACTACGAAAGAAAAACGGTTTTTTTGTCAGGCAGCTTCAAATTTGAGTTTTTTCAAATAATACTTTGGAACAATGTAGAACAATCATAGAACAACCTAGATAATAATAAAATTCAAAAAGTGGGGGGCTAACTTCACAGTGGTGCCGCTAGGCCCCTTGCAGCATTGCTTGCCCTCCCTACTTCAGTCTTTCTCGCGCATTTATGCTTTACT